TTCGGATCGTTGTCTTGTTGGAAGGAAAATCGTCGTCCAAGTCCAAGTTTTCGAACAGATTCCTGGATATTACGGTCAAGTATTCCCTGGTACTTGTATTGGTCCATAATTCCGTCAATAAATTCCATTTTTCCTGCCCCACTTGAAGCCATGCATCCCCACACCATTACCGACCCGCCGCCGTGCTTAACTGTGGGGTTGAGATTTTTTGGATTCAAAGCTTCTTTTGGATATCTCCACACTCTGCGACGCCCATCTGACCCAAAGACATTGAACTTTGACTCGTCAGTCCATAAAATATGTCCCAGAATGTTTGTGGCTTGGAAATGTGGTCTCTGGCAAACTTCACTCGTTTGGTTGCATTCCTCGGTACAATAAGAGGCTTCCGGACTGCTCTGTGGGATTTCAAATTTCCCTTATTCAGTGTTCTTTGGATGGTCATAGGACTAACCTGTTTGCCGAACATCTCCTTGATCTCGGTAGATAGCTTTGGAGCACTAAGTGAGGGTGTAACGTTGACTTTGTTGAGCACGTGGCGTACTTCTCGGTGAGCCAAAATCGGTTTTCGACCACTTCTGACCTTGTTTTGGACTGAACCATTAGCTTTAAAGTTCTTAATGGTTGTCTGGATGGTTGTCCTTGCTAATTTATACTTGGTCCATATTTGTCTCTGCGACAGCCCCCTTTTTGTCCACCCTTCCAGTCCTGAATGACAAGATCTCGAATAGCGATAGGAATTTCCTTGCGTGTCGACGCCATCATATTTTTCTGGAAGAAAATTATTTAAAAATTAATGCGGCATATGTTATTGATAGATTTATTAAGTTACCTGATTTTATAAATTGGAGAGATTTTTGTTGTTGACAATTAAAGTGAAGTGGACGTAGACTTTTGTCCGCTCAAATTTCATCCTCTCTCGCTCTGCACTATGATTCTCAGTTTTCCCAGAATTTTCAGAAATAACTCATATGTTTTATGAAATTACGTTAAATTTGTGAGAATTTGATATATCAATGATGAAAATTGGTTCAGTAGTTCAGTGACAATTTGAAAATGAAATTGACGCGACTATGTGGACGTAGACATCTGTCCGACACTGTAGCTGTAAAAGAGGAAGTATTTAAAAAAGTACAGAAATTTGCCACGTATTCTTAGCTTATTTTTGTGATGTTGTACATATGGATTTCTTAGAACAAAGGACCACAATCTCAAGCATGTAAACCATCCAGCAAATTTGCATGCATATTTCCACCAACGGTTGGTGACCAACCCCGTAAACAAAAGGTTGGTTCCGTCCGGGCTTGGTGGTATCCTTTCCCTGCAGAACTCGGCCTATTTCGCCAATAATTACCATCGATGTCAATATGGCTGGTTTTAAAATTGAAATAAAAGTCCTTTGTTCAGTTCTGTTGTTTGGATGGCGTCGTGTAACCACGACGCCATGACTCATGTTATGTATCATCATTGGTCATCCTCAGGAGCTACATATGAACCAATTGGTATCTATTTCATGTCAGTTGCTTATGCTCTTTCACCTGGTTATCTTATCCTTCTCTTCTAGTCAAGAAAGTATTTAAAATTTTTAAAATTTCAATTCCAAATTTAACACATTTCATATTAGGTGCTTAAGCACTTTCACCTTGTCAATTCATCTCTCATCCTCCTTATTTAGTCAAGAAGATATTTTAAAAATTTGACTTCTAAATTAAGAAACTCTTACACTGTCACAACTCTGCAGCGAGTTTTTGTGCAGTTTCATATTTTTTTGATTGGTACTGGCGACACGAACTTGACGATCTCTTTAAAAAGACTCCTTATTTCAACTTACATAATTTTATACTTCGCAAATTGCATAAGATGCGTCGACATTCGGGACATTGTCTTGAGTTTGCCATGGGCATGGGGCCAGAGGGACAGGTTGTACCTGACCCTATTCCTACTCCTCCTCCTCCCCCCACCCGAAGGGACCATGTCGCAATTGATATGCTGGAAGAATGCTGCGCAGAAAGTAGGTCCCGTTGTGAATCCGTCGTTCGGTCAGAATATCAACCCAACCAGGGGAATTTTCTCGTTCAAGCCTTCAAGAATTTGCCTGGGTTTCGAGAATGCCTTGCGAATGACATACATATTTCGATGAGGTAAGCTGTTATCAAATTGTTGATATTTATATTGAATTATAATCATAATGAGCATCTATCGTCTATGAAAATTAAATTAAATATGCAAGGTCGTGTTAAAAATGCTTTGATTAAGAATTATTGAAATTCTGGTTGTTCGCCCAGAGTAATTGTTTATAAAAGTAAATAGTAAATATATAATTATGTGTATGGTATAAAGTATAGTACATTTTACGCATCAATTTATTATAGTTTACATTATTTTAAGGTAAGTATGTGGATTGCATCAATTCCAGGTACACGAAATTTTAATGAATGCTAAAATTTTGAACCAATCATTGGGGAGCGTCCATAAATCACGTGATCGATTTTTGGACAATTTTGACCCCTTCCCCCCCTTGGTGACCGGTGGTGATAATTTCGCTACCCCCCCCCCACCGGTCACGTGACAGGAGATGATGCTCAAATTAAATCATGTTGTCCGGAATAACAATATTTTTTAAATCATAATCAAATTAGAGCTACATTATACACATGTGTAAATAACTATTTAATACGCCAGTCGGACATAAGAATTTAAGTCGAAGCAAGTTTCTAAATATGCAAAATGAAAATCAAATTTATATAACTCTTGCGTGTGGTATTGCCAAGAGGGTTTATATATAACTCTCATGACATTTATTGGCATATACAAAAGTTTAAAAAAAACTTTACTCATGTCACGTGACACCTGACCATCTACCCCCCCCCCCCCCCCCGTGATAATTGGTGACAAATTTCAGACCCCCTCCCCCCCTCTAATCGATCACGTGATTTATGGACGCTCCCTTGTCCAATATAAAATAATATAATTTAGATATCCAATATTTCACATTTTGACTTCATTGTCACAAGGTCTAGTCTACTACTATATGCATTCTTTTATACGATGAGGTTCACAGTGGGGGCATTCACTTCCGTCTTTCATCTTAATCTTTTGAGAGCATTTAGTTCCTTCTGCTGCACAGTCGTACGTCTGAATTGCTTTAGTCCGTCCATTCACACACTTCAGAATCGCTTCCGGGGGGCACTTGTTCGGTTTGAGGTCACGGCCGCAAAACTGAATCAGAGTTCCCGTCGAGTTTAGATCTTTTGGACACAGGCAACCCGGTTCCGATTCCTCGTTTCTCACTCGGTCATTGGTATTTACATATGGCTTCGAATGCCATGGATAACAAGTGCAACTGGCAAGGAGCATTGCCATCCGAAGAATTATCTTAGCTTTCATTATAGGAGAGTAAAGTTGGGGAGCTGAAATCAAATAAATTTGTTTCCTTCAAATTTTATCGAACTAGGAGTGTAAACGAGGAGGGAATATTACTTTACCTATCAATCTCTTTATTTTTATTTTTATTTTAAAAATGAATCCTTACCAGTAAGATCAACTAAGTCGATAAACTTCATGAAATTATGTAATACTTCCTGCTTCATCAGTGGCTCAATTATGAGTAATTTATTTAAAATATTTCTTCTCTCCATCAAATATCGTTTTTCTTTCCTTTGTCCTAGGGTGTTTTGGACAATCATTATTGTGCTGTTAAGTGCCATTGTGTACGTCATTGTTCGAATGGGGATGACGAGAACAATGGGCCATCCGCTAGTCGTTAACCCTGAAACACAGGAAACGTACATCGGAAATGTTATATTTCCCAGGGTCACCGTTGCCCCTCCGGGGGGCTTCACCCGCAATCAAACCATTGAAGCGTTTGGGTTAGGACAGTAATTTTAATTTTGTAATTACTCATGGGCGTTTCACTATAATCTTCTACACATACAGGAATTATTATGACGTGAAATTTGAAGATAAAAAAACTAATTGGACAAATATTGAGTTGGCAGGAGTACTTCAAATCATTGACCAAGTTTGCTCCCCCAATACGACTTTTGCTGGTTTGAATAACGTCAGACATTCACACAATTGGAATTTTGAATTAGGAAATATTGCTAACGTGAATCAAACAGTAATGGACAAGGAGTGAAAGAGGAGTGAAAGAGTCGCCCCATTTATTCGAAAGGTTAGGAAAATTAAAAGCAATTATTTTTATAAAATTGAGCTATATTTATTTACCTTATCACCAAAAATGCATTCTCTCTTCTATTTTGCTACAGGGAATGGCAAACTGTTCGGAAGCAATTCACAAATGCTTCCTCAACGGAGTGGAATTTAATTGCAGGGACGTGTTTAAAGAGCATTTTTCGGAATGGGGAAGCTCTTGCGCCTTTAATGGAATTCCAACCGCAGCAACTAGAGGGTGAGATTATTAGCTCATCTGGTGTTTTTATTTGTGAATTAATTAGAATTATTTAAAATGTTTTTGAATAATACGAAATATTTCTAGCAACGAGACGCTACAAGCAGCATTTGGACATCAGTACAAAGATGACGAGCTCGCTGAATGGCAACAGGTAAAATCTGATCGAGATAGCGACGCTGTTGCTGAAAAGGGACAAAATAGAACGATTCCAATCCCTTGGAAGCAATATTCCCCCGGTAAAACTTCCGGCCTAACTTTCATCATAAAACATGAAGCAGGTGACAAAGCTTGCGTCCACGGTGAAGGGGTCGGTTTCATGGTAAAGAAAATTATCGATTACTCTGCATTTAAATTTAAAGATGCGAATTAACTTGATTATCGCGAATTTCAGCTTGAAGTAAATCATCCTTTTGATGAACCTCAAATACACCGTTTTGGGGCTCCCATCGCGTTTGGCGTGGAAGCCTACGTCGCCGTGCGTCCAACCGTTTACTTGGCCGATGATGAGATCAAAGATGACATTGATCAGGGTCGCCGCCGTTGTTATTTCAGCGACGAAGGTGGCATGGCTAAATTAAAATATCATAATAAATATTCCAAGCAGAATTGCTTGTCAGAATGTTTCTCAAAAAAAGTTACCGAAGCCTGCAACTGTACAATGGTCACTTATCCGGGTATATTTAACAGACAAAAAATTTCTCCCCTTTTTGGCAGAATTGAATACGACCTATTTAATCCAAATTATAGGAAAACCTGGATATAGATTGTGTACAGTGAACGAAATGAAAACCTGCGTCCATGAGCAAGAACGTACGTAAATTGTATATGTAAAACAGAAATTAAGTATCACGTTTTAAATATGATATTTAATTTATTACAGAAACCTTATTCAAGGAAGGACTTGCAACGAAATGTCAAGAATGTCGTCCAAATTGTCGGGATACAAAATACGAGATGAAGATATCTTCGAGCCCCATGTCCGAGACCACCATGACGGACTGGAACATACCGTAAGATAATTTACGGACAAAAATTTGCAAATATACAAATTTTAGATGATAATAATTGACTATTTTTTCTGCTTTAGTGATAAAGCCAGCTTTTCTATTGTTCGCGTGTACTTTGAAACGGATTCTGTCCAAGCCTTGAGAAGGAGCTCGCGTTACAATTGGTTTGAAGTAACCGGTATGCATCCCTTGTCACTAAATGATAGAATTAATTGTATATTTTGTTTAATTTATAATTACTCACCAGGTTTGAATGGAGGAACAATATCAATGGTGACAGGCATCTCCTTGTTGGACATCGTCAAAGGTATTGTGACCGCTGTTACCGCATTAGCTGGTCAGTATTTTTTAATGACCCAACAACCGAATGGACGCATGGATGAAGAAACGAGTGAGTCATTTTTTAAAATTTTAATTCGTTCATTGATAACACAGCTTTCATAATAATATTTACAAATTGCTGACCAAAGCAGGTCCGAGACGCGATCGTGACATCGTCGTAGTTCCTCCACCCGCTTTTGTTATCGATGTCCAACCACGCGCACCCACACCACCGCCCCAATATCATCCAGTGGACCCTTTCCCTGATCTATAAAAATGCCATCAAACTATTGCCAAACGTTGACATTTTCATCATTCTGTGTGCTAGTCTTTATGCTTATAAAAATCGTTGTGATACATAATTGTGATGGAAGAAGAAATTAGTTTCCGAGCTTATATAATTAAAAAATGCTTCACTAAAATTATGATAAATTATTGCTCCATTGCAGTCATTGCATTTCACGAATTAAATTAATATATTGTATTTTAGCTCGGTGCATAGTTAAAATTTGTGTCATTACTAATTCATAAGTTTTTAGGACGAATTTAATAAAATACTCGTTTATCCGAAAAAATCGATAAGAATGGTGATAACGCATGTAATAAATTTTCGAATATCGTGCATCTCTTGCCTACCATAAACTATAAAATTAGTTGACTTGATTTACAATTTTATTTCATTCGTCTGTCTAGTCTACCCTTTTGCCAAAAACGCATTTCTTTCCACTGCATGACATGACATACACACACTCTCACAATTTCTATAAATTATATCATGATCTAAACTCTGCTAAACTGTGTGCCATACTAATTTCTACGAAAGAATAATGGAATTCTTTATGGTTCATGCGTTTCACAGTTAACGAACGAAATGTGCCTTTCATACTTCACGGTTATTATCGTGGTGGTCAAGTTGAAGCGGCATTAACAATATTCCGCGTGGTTTACAAAACTTTGCATTAATTTAAAAATTACGAATTGGCAACCGGACATAACAGAAATCCCTTGTAATGTTAAACAGAAACTCCTTATTTATATTCTCATTTCAATTTCGTTCAAATTTTTTTCATAAATGCGTTGTAACTGGGGTCCCCAAATTTAATGCTATATAATAATTATATAGCATTATTACAAACGTAATTATTATTAATTATTATGATGTAATTATTACAAACGTCGAAGAATTACATATCACGATTGCTTGACATTTAGTATCTAGGTAACGTTAGTCTCCCTTAACGGTTGCGACAAATGGTTGACGCCTTATTTAGAGTGACTAGCTATAAAGTATCACCGTGCCGGATTTCATATTTTTAAAGCAATTTCTAAACATCGGTGTAGGTCACCCCATAGGGTCGCTCCAGATAAAAATTTTTCCAATTTCATTTCTTATTCTTCCAATAAGACCCATAAGCAACACCTCTCTGCCAAATTTCAACTCGATATATCGATTTTGAAAAACCAGTATGTCACCCCATAGGGTCTCTCAAGATGAAAATTTTTCCAACTTGAAATCATTTTTATCTATTAGAAGTCATAGCTACCTCTGTACCAAATTTCAGCTTTCTACGACAATTTCGAAATTTTATCCCAACTACTCACATGACCCCACCGGTCCACCACTTGACCGATTTCGCCCATCTTCGAACTTTGTCCAATATGTACACGGTAAAAAGTTCAAGTCAATCGGTTCAGCCATTTTTACTAACGTGTTTACGGACGGACGGACATGACGGTTCCATAAGCCCAGATTCGGGCTAATAAAAATGAAAATTTATTTTGTAACTCGGCCATTTGTCGTAACCTTATAGACTGATAAAGTGTCAAATAATCTTGATTACATATTTACATAGTTTTGAAATATTAACAACATTCCCAGTTCGTTTAAAAAATTCGGAATAAGTAACGGATTCTATTTAACGATTCCGTTCTATCATGGGTTACCTTAAAATGCTAACCAAAATTCGATAATTCGATCATGGCATACTAATACAGAAAATGCAATTATTTTGCAAACTTCAACATATAGGAAACTTGGGGTCCGAAATCGAGGCAGCGGCCAAATTCTAGTGCAAAATAATTTTTAAAATTATTTCCGGTGATATTTGACCACGTTTGAACGATTTTGACATGAAACTCAAAATTTGCAAAAAATATTGGCTCATATCTCGGAAACCACCAATGGACCACCTCAATATTATTACGGATTCTTGATGTACACAAAATTACGAAAATTTTAAGCTATCAAACTTGAAAATCGTTCGAGTGCGAAAAAACACGATCTCATTGTATATATCTATCTTAATTACATGTCATTTACATGCGGTAATCGACAGTATGGCTTTGAGGACATGTGTCGAATTACAAATTACTCAATGATAACCAATGCGTCTAATCTGAGAGAGTTATTACAGACGCCTCCAAGTTTTTTTTGTGGGTAAACATCAAAATGGTTTTATTACAATTAATACCGTGTTTTTGTAGTTGGTTACAATAAGTAATAAATTCTATAGGTCATCATCATGAAAATAAATGGTACTGAACAGTCATTGTTGAAATGATGAAGAGAGAGAGAGAGAGAGAGAGAAGGTGCTTGTAATCACACAGTATACATCACATAAATGCTCCAAATCACCAACCAACTAGTTACTTTTGTCAAAAATTAGAGAGTATCGTAGTATAATTGAGAGACGAGTTGATTATTTGACTCGTCACACCCGTCTACGTTCTTTTTACAGTTATTAAAGTGTTGTCATTTCCTGAAGGTTTCACATAATCATCATAATCACGAATATAAAGTACATAATTAATGTTAGAGTATAACGAGACATAAAAAATTTAAGAGAGCAGTTCTGAGAGAGATTTATCACGTATATACATAATTCATATGTGTTGACGACGATTGTGAGGGGTGGTGGGAGGAGGAGTTAGTAAATTGGGGGTACGAATCAGGCAGGCTATCAGTGGAATGGAGGGTCACAGGAATTATTATACATCGTCTCCTCCAGTTATTGTGCCGTTGAGATGAGACGTGCTTCACAAAAAGCGTAGTGGTCATTATTATTAGTAGTAGTTCGGGGGTGGGACAACAGTTATCATGATGATGATGATGATGGTGGTAGTGGGGATGTGGGGAGGGGTGACACCATGTTAATTTTATTAGTACATGTGGAGAGATGAAGGGGTGGGGACTTATTGTACTCTAGTGTTGCTAACTTTAGTACGGATATCACGGCTTCATTAAATGGAACACACGCCAAAAATGATGGCTTGACTTTCTTTTTACTTTCTCTCTGCCTTGCTTGACTTGCTCTGTCTAAATGGAAATGATCCAGCCCAGCAGAAATGCATTGGAAGAACTAGTTTTACATAAAACGTCCTCAGTTTTTGGTGGAAGAGATTTTCAGAGACTTTTTTGATTTCTTTAGTCTTTTGGGAGACATTTTTCTACATTCATCATCAGTATTTTTTATGATGAGAGAGAAAGAGAGAGAGAGAGCGTCATTACGTATGCTCTTGTACATATATTCGCTTAAATTCATTAGTATACTTGATCGTTTCGTCTATTTGATAGGATTCTAAGTATTTGGTGTTGTAAGGATATGATGATAATACGAATACTGCTGCTGTTACATGTTGCTGAATACTGATGATTCCATCTGATTAATAGTAATAAGGGTTTTACGTCATTTTAATATATGTAAATATTTATGTCTAGATAGAGATATATGTATTTATGTAGTTAGAGAGATAGAGATACTGATTGAGTCAGAGTGCAGGTTCGGGAGCAAATTTTTTGAGAATGGTTTTCCAGTTCTACGTTTGTATAATAATTATACAGTTGCGTCATTTGGCAACCTTTGAATTACTGTTTTTTTCATAGGGAGGAAACTACTATCTCATAGCAGTAATATAGTGATGATGGGTGATCTGGGGTGTACCGACCCGTCGTCGTATGGACTGACTAATTGTTCAAGACTGTGAAGATTGTGACGTGAGTCTCGCCTGCTTGGGTTCGATCTGCAGAGATAATTTGTAGAGTTGATCGTCATCAAGGAGCAGTTTGGGGTCCCTCAGGTAACTACTGGCTTTGGCACCATACTCAATCTGAGAAAATGATAAAGTTATGTGGAATTAGTAGTAAAATATTTAATATAATTTGATTATATGGTTAGTTAAATTTTCTGTTTAAAATTTTTTAAATAAAATTCACCTTGTACGGAGTTTGTTGAAATTGTCGAATTTCGCGAATTACGTGAGCAATCATTCTCATCTTGGCGAAATTCAGTAAACCGTCCGCTGTGAAGTTGGGAGTGCTTTCCTCAATAAATGTCAGGTCGCTCAAGTACCTTGAATTTAAATTTTGTTTTGAATTGTGTTGTGTACAAAAATTCCTTCAGATTCTTGAATCAAAAAATGTACTTACATTCCCAGGTACGGAATCCCTAGAATAAAGAACAAATTAATGAAATATTTAGGAAAGATGACACGTGAAACGTTTTTTCCCTTCACTGGAAATAGCTTAAATTACCTGGGGGATCGACTCGGTGGAGGGCTATGGATGTGGATAAATAGATTAATCAGTTAGTAATACACGTCAATAATTCGTATGTAAATGTCAATCAATTATCAATCACTGAATATTATACGAACCACCAAGATAAATATCTTGATGGATAGAATTTCAACTGAATAAATCAAAAATTTATACCTTCTCGCAACCCCCGAAACCGTCTGTAAGTCAAAATTATACAAAACATCAAAGTAAGTCGTGCAAGTTTTTCTAGACATGTTCAATAATTAAATGATCTCCTCAATTATGCTTACCCATCGCTCCCAACCAAGCTGTGCAAACGATCCAAAGTCCCCTTGGTCTAGATTTTTAATCGTCATAATAATTATCAGTGTGGGCCGTGGGGACCAAACAACCGAAAATATGTATACGTACGGTTTTTGAAAGTTTCTCATAAGTTTTCTTGAGCCGATAGACGGCAGAGTTGGTAAACGCTGCGCAAATTTGGAGAACACCATTGAAATTGTGGAGAACCCTGCAAATGTCGCCGACAGCCACCCATTTTTCCATGGCCTGAAGTCTTCCGGTTTGATTGGGCTGACGAATAACTAGGACAGAAACATGGAACGTTCTAAGTTTTCTTTCACTGGCTAATTATTTGTCGATTCCTACGCACCTTCTGACACCACGAGTCTAGAAACTTCATTAAATCTTCGGGTCATTAGCAAAATATGCGGCGCGCGATGTTCCTTGTCATCCTTCGTCCATGACTGGCCCAAAAATTCTCTGCAAACACCATTTAAGTTTTATTCTTATTAGAACCAATTAGTAGAAGAATAAATAGTAGAACACCATACTCTGATCTGATTGAAATGAAAATCTCATGATCCAAGTAAGTCATTTGTTCAGCAATTTCCAATGCTGATAAGGTTTCGATTGTCTCTTTGCTCTGAAATAATGAAATGGCGAGTGAGAGAGCGGTGGATATTAATTTATTTGTCCATACCTGAACTGCTGCCAACAGTGAAGTCAGGTCCGTCTTCTTTGTCTCTTCTCTCGTCAGCATTCTGAGGAATCAACATAGTTTAATATTCACTTGCGATGAATTAGTTAACAGTGAATGAAAAACCAGATTACTTAGCCACAAAGGCGTGAATTAATTTTGAATTAACCTGAGGAGTTGTGAGGCTGCTTTGTTCTCTGCCGGCAGGAGGGCGGGGGAGCAGAGGATGTCCTCCAGAAAGGACACGGTGAGGTCCCTGAGTCGCGGATCGTCAAAGTCCTGGCTATGTTTGGCCACCCAGTGTCTGAGCACGGAGAGCACACGCATCGTCGCCGCGCTGGAGAGGACCGATTCCTTCCTCGGCCGTACAAACTTCAACTCCTCATTTTCAGGAACGACGACTTCCGTTTGGCCCGGGACCCTCGTCGTCGTCGTCCCAGCCGTTGCTTAAGTTCAAGATTTCACATTTGCAATACGCATCATTCTCTCCGCAATGACCACATGTGCTTACCGATTGCGAATGCCGCCGCGGCCGAAGCGCTGCTTGACCTCCGCTGTGATTGTCGCGAACTTGTTACCACCACGCCAGCCTTGCTGCTCATCTGGGGCGATTCTGACCCATGCGTTTGGAAAGAGGATCTGCAAAAAGCATGCATGCATAATATCCAGTAGTAACCACAAGTCTATAGGAGTCACTTATTTTATACCTTGGTGTTGAACCGGCCCCCATTTCCGATTCTACAAAAGATGGTCGCTGCTTCGAAGCTCTGCGTTGTAAAATGGCTGCATAAATCGAAGTGGAAGAAGCCTTCCTAGTCTGAGCTGGTGCTGTAGATACAATTCATGAATATTATGGTTCGCAAGCTATTGGAGAAATGAGAGCCAAAGGAGTCTTACAATTAGTCTTACAATTAGCGGCACTTAAGTTTTCAGGCTTTTTGGTTTCCTCCTCCGTCTCAGATTCGGATGTCTCAGACGCGATTGAAGTAATGCTGTGATGTCGCTTTTTGGCAGTCTGTTCAAGATTTCATACTTTTAATAATATGCATCACTCTCTCCAAAGTGACAGCATGCCTTTACCTGATCTGTAAGCGTTTCACTAGAACAGGACGTGGAGGCGCCAGGTGGGACGAGCAGATGACCTCCAATGTCTTCCACCCTCAAAGTTACCGACTTTTTCCTCGCAGGAGGGCTTGTGTGACCAGCAGGGCTGAGATATGTCGCACCCGAGTGTTCCTCCACTGCGCAGTGAATGCAATGTCAAACAACTTTTATCATTTGTTTCATTTGTCCGTAGTTCTTACTCTTGCGATAGCTCCACCTCCAGTGGGGCCCTTTCGACGAGTCGTACATGATTGCAGGATCCCTGTCACTCTCAGTTCCGTATCCAGAGACCGTGGAGGTGGTTGAGATTCTGCGATAACCTTCGTCCATCCGGGGGTCGTCCTCCTTCACGATCCCCTCCAAACTGTGTATAAATTTGTAAACATGTATGCACGCGGTCAGCATATCCAGCTGCAATTAATCGAGGCTTACTTGTCACCTCCCTCCAAGGGCTCTGCGCAATAGTACACTTTCTTCAGTGCTTCCAACACAGTCACCGAGTCGGTGAAAACTCGATACGTGAGAAGAAACGTGTTGAGAAAGTCGATGGATAAGAATCTCAAATCTGTCAGCCGTTCCAGCAGACGTTGCGGAGTGGCGTACCGTATTTGTGGAACTTTGCACGAGTTCAATGTCCTCGAGAAGCGAATGTCTAAGTAGCAAAGTTCGTTATAATTATTCATAATTTGAAAAATGTCCAGCTTTTCTGCAATTGCGAATCACTTACCAACGTCGTCCTTGAACAGCTTGGGGTCAGATCTGACGGAATGCGGAACAGCCACGGAGGCAGAGTCAGATCCGTGCAGTAGGTCGTTAAAGTGCACATTGTCCATGCATTGTGAAATATCCGAGGTCCAGGCATGCTTCTCCTGAGCTGATGGAGCCACCATGTGGATCGTGACTTGGCCATTTTTGGTGTCAAGTAGGATTTTAAAGTCCAGCCCCATATGTGGCGTGTCAGCAAGGACGACACACTTTTTGATCAGTTGGGAATTGCTGGAGTCAGAGTACGAACTTTGAGAGCTGATTGAGACGTCGTCATTGATCTCGGTCTCATTCACGTCGGAGGGGTCCTGATTATTGTGGCAGTTAGGGTTATAGCACATAAGATTTATGAATTGTTGCAGTTATTTGGGTAATAATAATAATGTAACAAACACATTTACCTCAATCAGGGTTGCGTCCGCGAGAGGGATCTTTCCCACGTGGGGAACCAGGTGCAACCTCCCGTTCGCCGCCCTGGTCGTGAGAATCAGGTGGTTCGAGAAGAGGAAGGACTGTCGCACTGCTTCCTTCTCCGGCTTCAGGATTCTTGGAGTCCGAGCCTTCTTGTTCCCCGACTCGATGAGGTGGATGAGGGATCCCTGCCTCACAAACACTTGGTCCACAAACACACAAGACTTGTTAGTCAAATACCTCATCAACTAGAAAAAGCAGACATGTTAAACGAACTGACCTTGGTTGACATCGAGCAGAATGTCGCACCCCTCCACGATCATTCGCTCGATTGCCAAGTTTTTTCGGAGATTTTCAGTCTCGCTAACCTCGTCGTGCATTTGTCTCGACAACTGTTGAGGAATTATGCAATTATCCATTTTAGTCTTTTCTTACCAGATATCAATGACCAACGTGAGCTAATTATGCTAGATTACATGCATATCTATGTATTTGCATACCTCTTCGAGTTGAGCTCGAGCATTTTCCAGCGACTTTCTCTCCACGTGGTCGTACGGGGTGTGGGCGAGGAGTTCGTGGAGGGTGATGATGTATCGGGGAATCTGGTGCATCGGATATGTCAAGTATACTGAAAAAATGAGACACATGTCGTGCATAAAACATCACGCGAGAAGCTCTTCGTTTGCGTGTAATGTGCATAATTTGTGTGACTGGCGTGTTTAATTTTAATGCTTGGAGAATACGAAATCTGGGGTAGATTTTGCTAGTTTCAATAAAATTGTCACTTTCCTCATGTGGATCATGTTACTCAAAAGGGCTCACGTACCTTCCAATGAGCGACCTTGGCACGCCGGCTTGTTTTCCAATCTGCTCAGCATTAAACTGCATGGCGACATCGCGATCGAACCAACAAAGAATAAATTCAGTTCAGACATTTCACGCATTTACATATTTAGTTTGCTCTTCACCCGAGCAAATATTGCTCTACTTCTCAAATACTGGTGTTCCAAAATGGGTAAAAGTATTTTTCATGTTGTGAGAAAATTAAATATTATTGTCGTGTAAAACTATTTCTCTCAGAAACATTTTTTATGTCGAATGAATGGTCGAATGGTCATATTAATTAAACGATGAGGGACTCACCCAAACTGAGCTTGTTGTTTGCACTCCGTTAGCACCTACACACATACAACTGTTCAGGTGAAGTTTTTCATGCTATTTCTTAGGGTTAGTGAGTTAGTGGGAAATGTTGAGAGTGATTGATACGTAATTGTTATAAATAGAAGATGGGTGGATATGTATAAATTTGGGGGGCTGACCTGCAGCGAGTAGTGATGATTTCTCACATATTCTTGATAGATTGACAACATTGGCAAGAGCATGTCGAAGAGGTCGCCTGTGAAATAGTTTTGCATCTTAATGACAACCATATTTCGAGTTCTTGTTAGAACTCTCGCAGAGGAAGAGTGGATTTTGATGTGTGGGTGGGTTGGTTGGTTTCGGGTGGGGTTGGTCGTGTTCAAGTCTCAAGTGGATGCACATCTGTCGCCTCTCAATCTTTTTTTGTACACTGACATTGTCCTCGTATGGATTTGAAACTGTTGCTTTTTTTCACGCAGATCTACCCTCGCTAACTAACTAACTAACTAACTAACCAATACACATAAACTACTATTTACAATATGGAGAAAGGTTGCTTTCACTGTGAAGAAGAAGAAGAAGAGGCGGCGACGGGTGAGTTGTTTACAAAAAATTCGTTAAATTTAGTCTGTCGTCTCGTAAATCATAAAACGAAGCAACATCCAATAGTATCACAACGTTGACATTTACTAGTAATAATTAACAATATTTGTGGCGTGGGGTTGAGGGCGGATCACCGCACAGCAGAGGAATGATAATGCAAGAAGAAGAGTTAAAGTTAAATGCTGCATGTAATTACGCAGTCCTAACCACAATCATAATCAAAACTATTTAGAATCATCTCTCAAGTGCTTCATCTTGTTCGTTCATTGCATAATTAATTGCAAACCATTCCACATTCCCGAGTATGTATATTCAAAAAAAGAAACAAATACAAACGTGGTCCACAACTACTGGTCGAAATATTTCAACTGGGAGAAAGTCCGATGAGACAAGTCTCCTTTTGTGCAAGATAAAAAAAAGTATAAGAAGGGAAAGAGGAGAAAACAAACAAATCTACGATTGTGATTGCTACACGAGAGATTAAAAGTCAGAGAGTGTAAATAAATAGTGTGTGAGTAATAAAATACGTAAATATAATGAATAATTAAAGGCATCCGATATAAATATTGATCAGGTCGATAACGTGTGTGTATAATAATTACGATAATTAAGTATATTTTATGCATGTATATATTTCATTCGCCTGCTGGTCGGGAGCCCTGTTCTCCGCAGCAAAGAGAGAGGAAGCCATCCAATGATCATAGCTCTAGCACAATAGTTTCTCGGTTCATAATCATAATAGAATAACAATAATAATAATAATAATAACAATAGCGATAGTTCATCTCATTTCAGTATCGAAAATACCACAGATGTGCACCATGACAAGAGTTGTATATATTATTGGGACAACAGTAAGATAAGAAGGACGATAAGAGGGTGATAAGAGACTGGGGAGAAAAGGAAGTATAATAACAGACCCACAGATTCCAAGTCCACTGCTCGAGAGAGTCAACAAGACATTCAGATATTCAGTCACACAACCATTCCGTTTAGTCACACGTACTACGACGACGAGGAGGCCGTAGTACGCCGAGGACAAGAATAATAATAACAATGAGACATCCACCACAACAACAGACCAAGACGTCAAAAAGAGGAGACGCACGCACGCACAGAGATAATTTCATGCAGCAGGAGGCACAAAGGTAGCCAAAAGGAAAAGGCCAACAAGGAAATATTTTGTAGGGGATTTCTTGCACAATACTTTTTTCTGTGCGCAAAGACACATTGACAGACATGAGGAGGAATGTTATCAAGAGCAATAAATACACTTACACGACACGAACGCAGGGAATTTTATGAGTGTGGCGAGTAACATACTTATTCAGAGAGTAACGCCATTTCGAGAGAAAGTTTAGAGTGGTAGCAGAAATGCAGGGGAATAAAAATGGCGAATATTGATATCAGAGCAAGCACATACAGATGTAGTCGAATTACAGAGAGCATACAAAGTGGGGGCTGAAGAAGAGTCGGTCAAAATATGGTCAACTTTTTTTTTATTCTCAGTTTCCTCTCCTCCTCCTCCTTCTCCTATTTCTCTCTTTCTCTCTCTCTGTCTTTTTCTCCTCAATTTCTCTCTGGCTGTCTGCAATCAGTTTTCAAAAGTCAACGGGTAGGAAGAGGGTACTTGCCTATACCTAGAACAAGCGTGGGCCAGGAGTCAATCCTGGCCGTGAGTCCTTTGAGGAAGATTTGGTGGAGGAAGAGGACCGTTTCCACGTTGAGGTAAATGCTCGAAACGTCCTCGTGAGTTACGGGAGGCGTCTTCGAGCTGGCGGCCATCCTCATGGGACGGAGAAAACCAGAGACGACGATTTCCAACTGTTCCACGTACTCCTCCTCTGCCTCGACCATACGGAACACGAGGCTGCACAACCAATTTCACTTTGTCAACGTCAGAGCAGAGTTTAAAAATGTACTCATAATAACACAGCTACTTTTCCTATTGTCAGTGAGAGCACGCCCATCGTGCGTGTATGACGACCTATTTATGTACAGAAATAAGCGGATTACCTGTTTCTTTTCCTCATGGCCTCGGCATGAGGGGATCTGATGTATTCTTCCACAATCTGCTTCCATCTCCGTCTGCAGAGCCATCCTCGGAAGAAGCTTTGGACTTTTTTGATCTTTTTGAGGTCCTCCGAGTCGAGGCCGGTCGTGAGAGAGGTTTGCGCCCCACCTCCGAACCTCCATTCCTTCTTCAAGGCGCATAACTTGATTTCCAATATGAATCACCCAATTTTAATAATGCGACAAGTTTACCTCGTATAATTTTTGCCGGAGAACACTGGAACTTACTTCAGAACGCAATTTCTTTATTTCTGACGCAAGTTGCTCACACTGGACCGTGTACTGCCATTTCGCCGTCTTTTCAGACTCGACGATCTGCACGGGAAGGAATAATGAAAAGGAAGCATAAACATCCAACGTGACCCACACACACACATTGTTTTTGAGGGAAGCCGTATAATTTCGCCTGCTTTCTCGGCATGTATGATTAATAAAGGAGGCTGTCTGCCTACCTGGACGAGGTGAAGGTATTTCTGCTCCAACTCTTCCTTCTGAAGCAGCAGCTTGTTGAAGCTGGAAGCACGAAGAGAGAAGAAAAAAGTGCTCACATGAGTATTAAAGATCTCTGTCGTTTGTCAATTTTAGCAGAAAAGAGAAAGCTCTCCTATATACTTAACCCCACAACATCTTCGCTGATAACGTGCATGAACCTCTTGATTCCTGGAAATTTGGCTACTTTTCGACAAATTGAGCTATGGAATTGAGAACCATCATGTTCTTTGTCGTTGGTCCCAATCAGAGAATAATAGCCTATATAGTACTAACTAGCATTATAATACATACATAATAATATTTCTAAGCACATCGACTGGGGCAAAGTAATACACGCTATGAAAACTAGAAAAATATCAAAAATGTTAGTAGATAATCTTTACAAAAGAACAGTACTTTCTCTTAGTTATTCGTTCATAGTATTCATGAACATATAGTATTCATTTGGGTGAAAGATTGATACGATATAAGAATATGCTTAGTAAGAAATAAATCATGGAATTGTCCAACTAGAATTTTTGTTATTTCAAGAAATGTTTCAACATAGATAATTTACCTGGCCACCCGAACAGCATCAATCCAAGCTTTACATTCAGATTCAGATTCAGCACGTAGCTCGTAATGCCGAAGATTTTCTCGTCGATATGTGATTCCAAAAGAATACTGAAATATAACATTCCATAAATATTTCAAATTCAATTTCGACAATGCAACCAAAACGGCGTGGATTGTTTGCTGCCCTGCTTTGTACTTTTATTTCTCGTTTATAAATTATTAATTTCTCAGACACTTGATGCATTTTGTGGGATGAAATGTAATAAGATAAATATGACTACACATCGAGACAAGATTTTTTATGGCATAACATTGATATACATTGCATTGGAGAAAATTGAAAAAATTGGTGGCAGTGCTTACTAATTTGTCTTTGAGAATGAGTCTCTCGCAGTAGCATCCTTCCAGCATGATCACTGATTGGGGTAATTTGAAGCAGTGATTGAACAGTTGACATTATCGGAGTTGCACATGGAATAGAAACCACAGTCAGTAAAATACGAGGTTTACGAATCATGTATGACATGCAGTGAAGCAGAATGTTACATCTCTGGGGTGTCGTATTAGGCTAATAAATCAATCAATCAATCAAAGTAATTGCATTTTTAGCCCTAACCATGGCCGACGGAGCCTTGTGCCTGTCAGTCATCTCGAGAACTCTCTGTGAACTTATCGATCGAGTTCAAATTTTTGAGGAATCTATGAGCCTAATTGGTGCACTGGTTGGGCTGGGGGTCATATTGAGGTGGTCGAAATTTGGTAAAGACTATGACGTAGAAGGCCAGAATTGAGCATGATGGTACATAAAATACGAATATGGAACTATCAAACTTGAAAATTTTTCAAGCAGTAGGTTACGATCCACCGATTTTCGGAACTTGTCCGAAAATGAAAGCTGAAAATTGGCATATAACTCCCTGATGGCTTCTTGTGAAAGGTATGCAGTTAAATGTAAACAAAGTGTAACCAGAATGGGTGACCCAAGCAGATTTCTATCGTACAATTTCAAATGAAACCTCGTGGCAAATAAAATAATGTTGATGACAACTTTGTATCGCGCCTTCCATTTTACAAACCCTGGTTCAATTTATATTTAGCTTAATATGTTATTGGTCAATGAAAGTTGTTTATAACCTCCTGATGGTCGTACTCCATTTTCAGCTTCAAAGTAAAACATCAAGTTCTACGGAGAAAGCATAGAAAATTGATGTTCATTACTTACTCGTGTGCAAGTATATACTAAATTGGTAAAAGTTATGCGTTGCAATATGTAAGCTAAACATGCACTGACCTGAAATAGGATAAAGTATCTGCGCGTCCACTTTCCCGCACCGCTGGACTTTTTGTAGAGAAAGCCACTCATCGCATTGTCGAACCGCGCTTTCTCTGCCAGCATGATGATCTAGCAGTACAGAGGTGACAAGATGATTTACATGTTTTTTTAAGAGATGCCATGCTCTCTGTTGACTGGGATCTGATGAATTTTGCTTTTTATTATTACCTGGGAGTCGTTGATGCGAATGGACCGCTGGATTTTGGGGGAGTGCATAATAGAATTGACTCGCTCCATGTTTGGCGGAGGGCTCACTGGTACTGCAGGGTCACCTTAGAACAGGGTCCGTATAATAAAGTATTGCACGAGAACAACACCATCCTGACAACCACTCCCACAACCACTCCTCCTCCAGGTCTGGATTGTCTCGGTGAGGATTGCATAGTCGCACCACCACTCAAATCTCTCTCTCTCCGCAAGTGCTAATTGTCGTGGCGTGGAGGGCGAGCCATTGTTGGTGGAGTGGTCGTGGTCCCTTGTGCCAGCCAGCCAGCCAGGACTTGCACTGAGGCTGGTGGTGTGGAGGAGCGACGTATGGAGAGCCTATACACTTACGTACTTGCAATGTGTGTACTTGTGAAAGCGAGTGAAAGTGGAAGGAGTAGTGGCTGGCTCAGTGGAGAAGGAAGACAACCAGTTGCTCTTACAAATCGATCGCTCAAGTACCCGCAGCAGCAGCAGCACTAAGGCATGCCAAAACCTAGCCAAAGTGCTGTTGGAAAGGACGACGACGACGGAAAGAGAGAGAGAGAGAGCGAGAGTTCATGCAAAAACTGAGCTTTCACTGGAAGAAGAGATACGCCGTGCAGAGTACACGACGCTCTGTCAGGACGGACGTACTACTTTACGAGTAGTACTACGCGCCAAGGAGTTCCATATACTTTCTCCTCCTCCCTGCATCGCATCTCTCGCTCGCCGTCGTCTGTGGGGGGAACCTCCAGCACATGAGAAGCTCCCTCCCTCCACCGTCTGCCAGTGGATGACATCGATTAAAATCAACTCTCCCTCTCTCTCTCTGCAAAAATATGCCGACAAAGGAAATTCCCGTCCCAGCTACGTACGTATGTTCATGTATGTACGAGGTGCACGGTGGGTGGGCAGGTGTGGTTTAGCAACACGGTGTGTGACTGACTGACTGGCCCAGTCAACTCGATATCGCGAAAAGTGTCACACTAATATTTTATCACTTGTTGTCCGGCATGAAATGAGTAAACGGCGAGCTGACCATTGTGTGCACGACTCTTGTTAAATGGTTATTATTCGATGCTGATTATGTTTAAGGGTGACAACAATACGTGACATGACATGGGATGGACTGACATTACCACTTGGCGCGACCTACATGCTGTCATGCGTCCATAATATTGATTTGCCTTGTGCTGGCATTGACATTGCTGCCCCCCTCATAAATATCTGTTTATTCCTATATACTTTTCAATAATAAGGGGAAAGTGGTTCAGCAAACACCAATCATATCATCACAATCATGATGCTTTTGTGTCACGGAGCCCACCCCGACGCAGCATAGCGTCCTGCATGCATGAAGGGACGGCCCAGCAGAACCAGCACCCATACTCTTGTATACGATAATATGTAGTAGACTGGATTTGGCAAGAATTTTATCCACTACTGGCGGAGAACGGGCGAGTGGTTGTGCAACAGCAGAGAGAGAGAGAGAGATCCAATATCTTACAGCATCATCATCCAGGCGCATGACTTTCACCAGAGAGAGAGAGAGCAGAGTCCTTAAGACACGGAGGCACTGCTGGCTGGAGGAGAGAGGGAAATCCTGCAAGAGGACCGAGTGGTTATCGCACACGGAGGAGGATCGATTCATGCCAATTCGTCATACAATAATTCAAACATCAGGACATGAGACCACCAACCCGGCAAGACCACTCTCATTATGTGCAGTCAGAAGGAGACCTTGATAATGCCTTATATGCCAATTTGCCGACCTGTGTACCTGCCCACCTGCGCCTGCTACGACGACCATCATTATGACGATGCTGTGGCGGACATTTGCAAAATAAACTGTTGAATCTTTTCATCCACTCTGCTCCCACTAAATGTCAACGACTGACACACACACGGCTAATAATAAGTAATATGTAGTAATAATGCTCACATTTTATTATCCCCCTTTTCACCCTGGTCCACCCGCATACGCTTTCGTGACGGAGAGAGCAAGAGCTTAGTGGTCCATGTATCATACTCTCTCCTTGATCCACCCTCCAGTCAACTCCATCGTCATGATGATGATGATGATCACCATCATCAAGAGAAAGTTTTGTATTCTTCTCCCAAATGCCAGAGTGATGTCCACCACCTCGTCAAACCTACCTGTAGCACTCGCCCGCTCACCTTTGCCCTATATCATCACCACCACCAGCACCTCATAATTTGCCCAATGTATGTACACGGGAGTCGAGTGCTCAATAATAATAATAATATACACGGCCTAATGTAATAATAATATCGACGTGAATAGTCAATTATTTGAACACTTTCCCCACTTGTTTGCCCACGATGACGATGACTCCTCGCTCACGATGAAGCTGGAAAAGTTCTCCCCTCGCCACCACTTTGCATAATAATCATTTCATTATGTTCAAGTCGGGCGAGGAATAATTCAGCACATGGTGTCGAACATATTGGACAATTTGTGGGGTCGGCTCCTTGACTTGTAAGTTCTCCATTTGGTGGGCTTCTTCTTGCTTCGTTGGTTACACAACCACTCGCCCAGCCAGCTTTCTTTTACTGTTAGAGAGGGTGCCCAGAGTAAAATGAAACAAATCCAAAGTGTAATTGATCCGTTAAGAGAACAGATTCCAGACATTTTTTATATGCAAGCCTATTACACAAACTATAAGTCAACATTTCAGGTTTAGTATACTGCGGGGAGGGCAAAGAAATTGTGGCAAAGAATTTTGTTACAAGTTCCAAATTTCCAAATTCCTGTTACTCTAAAATGGCGTCGCATTTTTGGTCTTTCTCCACTGTTTACTCAAAATCGTGACTTGTATTATATGTATCGTGAATTGTATCTTAGGAAGATCACTTCAGCTTTACCATTACTCGTCAGTTGACCTGGTGCTTTCCTTTCAAAATCAATAGGTAAATTTTCCGAAAGTCTAATTTGGAATTTTCGAGACAAAATATCAGCAACGATTGACGGCAAGTGGTAGAGATTCATGTCGAATTCTATTATTATTAATTATCTTAGGTTATTATAACTAATAATTCACCTCCGACCTCTTTACTTTTCATGCTAAATGAATTCTTGTAAAATGTTTTTATGACAGCTTTTTGTTGTGGGGTCAAATGCTCAGCCATTTTAGAAAATACTCGCATGAAATGCAGTAGACTTATTTTTATTTTTTCGCAAAATTTTAGCCCTAAAATCGGAATTGCACCAGAGATATCGATTTTAGAAATCGTTTCATTTTACTCTGAGCGACCTTTATGTGCCACCACTCGACTTTCTTTTGCTGCCTCCTTCACTCACTCGAGGACCCAATACGCATGGTGAAAGCAGCCACTTTGCAAAATTAATGTACTTTTTGAGACATTGACAACTTGACGTTGCCCACCAGACCAAGAAGGACAGAGGGAAAAAAATAATATGTAGCATGAGGAACAACCCAGTTTCTGCCTTTGTATTATTCACTGGTACGTACGTATGCATACACTTTTATTAATCACACACGATACATATTTATGACACAGCTTCTGATTATCATCTCTCCGCACCTCCTCACAGACGTCACGTATTTCCTATGGTATCATTAGTTATTGTTGCATAGATGATTGTTTCAAGAATCATAAGTTACTTGGTATTCGAAAATGAGTACATCATCATAAATTACATGTCATTATTATTTTATACAATTGCTAGTTAGGCTTTTGATGCATCACAGGCAGTTATACCCGACTCGCAGGTAGAACATAATATTTTTTTCGAGGACAATTATAAATACGTAGTTAGCGTCGTCTTATAATTGTTTAATCGCTTCGCTACCCACCTAAAATCCAGGTACTGACCTTGGTTCATTGCGTAATGAACTGTACTTAATAAGGAGGAGTGGACCTAATACTTTTTTCTGTCTTATTCGTCCAATCACGTAATCTGTTCCATAGATGCACACATATGTGTAATATATTGGGCTGCTAGTAGGTATCCAGGAGGAGGAGGGGACGGGCATTCAAGGGAACGGGAACAAAGAAACTTCAATATACATATATAGACTGGTTGACTGATTACTTGAATTGTGTGTGTGTGACAGTGTGTGCGAGGAGAGAGAGAGCTTTTGATCTGCTAATTAGCTCTGCTTTCACCATCGCCACCACTCCATTTTGTGTGGACTAGACGAAGGGCGGAGGTGGCAGAAGCGTCTCCTCCTCGGGCGAGTCCAGCTCAACCCTGACGAACAGACTGCTGCTGTTACTCGGCCCCGGACTTGGGCGATGGCTCCTGGTCGGAGTAAGCGCCATCGTCTTGTCCTCCTGGGCGTCATCCTCCTCTGCGGATGGGACAAGTGTTTTGAGGAGAAGGGAACACTCGAGGTCATCCTGATCACCACCACCACCCGTCACGACATAGGTGGCGGTGGCGGTGAGTTGAGGGTGGTGAGAGGGGGACATGGCCTGATCGTAGCTGGGAGGTTCCAGGAGAGACTCGTACGTTGGGGGCTTGTCCTTTGCCTCCCGCTCTACGTCTTCGTCAAATTGGATGAGCACGCCTTCTTCTTCCCGTCCCGCATGAGGTGACGTAACGCCCGTCTGAGTGCCCAGAGAAACCGAGCCGTCAAGACCGTTGGCAAATGACGCCTTCGCCCGTCTGAAATGAGATTAAAGTTAATATAGTAATGCTGATATACATGGAATGAAGTATGGAGCAACGACAAGATTGGTCGTACTTTCTCCAAATGATGTAGGCGAGCGTGGCGGAGAGGGAAATGATGAGGGGGAGGAGGAGCCCTTTGAGAAAGTAGCCGATCGTCCGTATCCTCGCACTTTGTGGGATTTCCATCTCGTCCACAGCCTCCACGAGCAGAAGCTCACTCGCAGGGACGATGTAGCCCTTGAGTTCCTGGAGAATCGCGTTCTGCTTCGAACAAGGAATCCGCCCGCACACGTTGTTATACAATTTCCTCTTAAGGTCCTTCGCGCAGCTCCAACTGGAAGGGTAACATTATTTAATTTTTGCATTCATTGGGGTGAACTCGGCAAATTCACCTTCGTTTTATTTAATTTATGTTAAATTTACCTGTCGTTCCCTCGTGACGAGTAGTACTGCTGAATTTGAAGCTCGCACGCACCAGCTTTTGGACATAAGTTGCATACATTAAAATATAGATTTCACAAGGAAAAGTCGCGTTTGAACTGTATATGCAATTTAGACACTTACGAGTGTTGACCCTGAAGAGGGCGATTAAGAAGGGAGCTGTCGTGGACTGGAATGGGAGGTCAAAGGTCAGTCGTCCTCCAGAACCCCACTTCACCTGTCCGACCGTGCGCAGGTTCACGTTGAGCTCGTCTGAACGGTCTGGCTCTTCGGCAGTGACGCAAGTTTGTGACGGTCCTTGCTCATCTCCCCACCGACCAGGAAACTATTGAGCATCAACCACAAACCATTATGCTCATTCGATTGTCAAAAATTCTTATATATGAACTATGGATGTTAGAAAGTATGGAATCCTACCTCCAACACCCGTGAACATTTTTGTGCAAAGGAGAGTGGACGAGGTCTCTGTTGCAGGCTGAGGAGCACAGCATGTCCGGCTTTCACCCCAGTCTCGGGACCCCCAATGCGGAATTTGCAGGGCATCACGGCCGACGCGTTCTGTCCACCACGAACCAGATCCATCACGACCACGTTGCTGGGAAAGAAACGATATGGGAAAAGGGATGTGAACGGTTCCTGCCAATCCACGGGATTCGGACATAACTGAGAGGACGAAATTTCGGCTGCAAATATTATTAAGCGATTAGCAAATTTCAGACAATTATTCCGCTATTTCCCCTTGTGAATAATTGAAATTAGATGTGAAATACTCACTGGAGGTGACGGGTATCAAGAGTGCGGAACACTTTGTCATGAGAATGTTGAAGGCGAGGAAGGTGAATTTTGAAAAGAAGGAGCGTTGGTAGGCCGAGACCATATTCCCATCCGTCCCACGTCGAAGTCCTCCCACCAAGTGGAGACCCCTTCTCCTAGTGCCCAGAACCCACTCCATGATTCTCACTGGTTGAGGTGCTGATGTCAAATTCCGACCCTTCTTTGCAGTGGATCTCACTCAAATATTCAGCCCCTGAAAAAGCGAGGAGCAATGACAGAGTGATGATGCTGGTGGGTCAACCTTGACTCCGGTAATAAGTATGTACGAGGTAAAAAGCAGTATGCCATAGGCCGACAGCCAGGCAATAAGCTTTATTTGTCGAGAACAACCCCATATCTCGATCCAGAGAATGGAAATTGGATTAAAAATTTACCGAAACTCGGACTTTTACTACACGTGTAGGTGCATGTACAAGTATGTGCAGTTATGTAGTAGAGGTGAGCAGAGGATTCACACAACGCGTAGTTTCAAGGCCCATGTAAATATTTGCTGCTACATAAGTGGATAGATAGATGACAATGGATAGGAAGCAATGGTGAGAGAGCAGCTTGAGACAATAATCAGGGGCAATAGCAACGCAGTAATTTAGAGACGACGTAGATTTAATGAGAATTTGCGGAGAGGAAGAAGTGGGCTCACTTGCTAAGTGAAAGCTCCGGAGAAAGCATGGCCTAGTTCCACTGCTCGTGTTTTTATATTTCATCCGACCAAGGAGAGCAGAGTGGTACATGGTGAGCTGTAGGTTGGACAATTTCGCAAAAATCGATCCTCCTCCCTTGCCCAAGAATGACGCAAAATCTACATTGGTTCGACTCTGGCTTACCATTTCTTTATGCTTTCGCCATAATAATTCATATGAACAATTGCACATGAAAAGAAGTCACATTGCTTTCACCGACGGACGAAACTCTCAATTACGTATTCATGTCAGAACACTCTTCTTAATTATCGAGACGAGTGAGTGAATGACGACGCCGTTCATCGCGTCGGTTTAAGTGGGTGTAATTGGATTATCAGTTTCGCAGGAGTCGGAAGGAAGTAATAATCAAGGAATGAATGCTAGAAAATAAACAAACATATTTTTCTCGGGTGGCGCGTGGCAGTAATTAAAATCTGATTTCTGACTTAATTTGATATATATCTCTTTGTTTCGCACGTGCAGAGCGTCGTCATATTTATTAAAGAGTTTCCTTCGAGGGAACATTGCATAAATTATACAAGTTTTAGATTTATAAAATTATTTATGACTTGGAGAATTCTTATAAGTAGAATATTGTAATTTGTAAGCGGGCGTTGATATTAACAGCGAAGACAATTAACTATCATTAACGAACTAAATACGGTATAATAACAGATATAACTTTTTTTAAACGCATAAACGAGCATTTATGTAGTGCTGCATGATCTACTATTATGACCAACTAAATATAACTAAAATATTCATCAATCGATGAGTAAGAAGGAAGGATTTCTTTAGCCACAATATTTCTTGTACAAAACCATATACACATACCTATAACATGCTCTATGTAATACGTATCATATACGTACATAGTATGTATAAACTTACCAATCTCATAAACCAATAGCTTAACTTTTGTTTTGTACATACATTTTTAACAATCTTCTCAGTATTAAGGAATGCTTCTTTCTGCATAACATTCGTCGGGTTTATAAAAAGGCTTTAGCAAAATGTATATAATTTTTGTTTGCATAATTAATGATTATGATTATTTTCACCACAATCTTTCGGGGCTAACAACTACTACTGGCTAGTATCACTGGTTAATTAGGGGCAGTCGTCAAGTATATTGGGGGTTGTGTCTGCGTTTGTATCTGTGTTTGACTGATGGACACGGGTGTGACTGTTGGGAGGGTGGAGATCGAGATGGTGGGGAGTGGTTGTGTCCCCGACAGTGAGGAGCTCGTGATTCCAATGATGCTTGGCTGAGCTGAGGGTCCTGCCGCACTGACGGACACGGCTGAAACGGACAACGGCTGCACTTGGGCCACACTTGTTCCTACGCTCAGCGTGTTGCTTAATCTCAATTGTGCATTTTGGCTCAAGAGGAACTCGTTGGAGCTCTTCAACTCTTCAATTCTTCTCTTTAGCATAAAATTTTCATCCTCAAGTGATTTTATGGTGTCCGATTGAACTGCGGCGAAAGGCGTTTGAAAATATGGATGTTGTTCGTGTCCATTCGAATGCTGATTATTATTGCTATTATTATTATTATTATTATGATGGTGATTATGAGGAAGGGGAGGATGATGATGAGCGGAAGCTGTGACACCATTTCTTGTTTGAGGAATAACATTTGTTGGAGACATTGCGACATAGCCTTGATGCTGCTGAAGTTGATGTCGATGGTGATAATATCCTCCTCCTTGATTATGCGGAGCTAGCATACCCCTTGGTGGGGGTGGAGGAGGAATCATTGGGTCCAATTCCAGCTCATACAATTCCTCTTCTACTTCTTCCTCTTCGTAGTACTCGGTAATTTGGTGAAAGCGTTTAGGCTCTGGGCCATCGTCGTAAAGCTCTGAACTTGACCGGATGCCTTTTCTCCTGGGTGTAACAACTGGAGCCATCATCATGCGTACCCCACCGCGACCTCGAACTATTACAGGGGGACCATAAGTTGGTGACGCGTTTTGAGGCGAAGGTCCCCCTCCTCTGGGAAGAACGTGACGATATTTGCACCCTGACACAAGTTACGAGTTACCAAATGTCATAATAGTAACTTGTAAAATATAATGATAACAATTTTGAAGAATTATTACCTCTCGGTCCCCGATCACACATCCCTTTGAGAAAGTCCTTACAAATCGGCAAATCATTTTCAACCACATCTCTCTCGGCACGGGTTGGTGTTTTATTATTTCTACTCCCACGGGAAGTTCCACCATTGACGTTATTATAATTATGATTGTTCCCCCCACTACCAACGCTGTTGCTGCTCCCATTCCTCCTGACTTTTTCTTCTGGATCAGACACTCCCTGAAGTTCACCGGTTTTCCTGTAGTGATCTTCATCCTCCTTCGTACAGTGGATGAACTTGCAAGTTACACTAATAACAAATTTACATATATTAGTATTCGACATAATACCGATGCATTTTAAATAGTGTAGTCAAATTTGTCTTTTAAATACACACCGATAGCATTTTCCCTGTTGGAAATCATGACAAAAGATTGGATCCGTCCGAACTTTAATGTTCTCGGGATGTAGAAATCTACAATTCGGGCGTTGGCAAACATTGCGCATAAAATCGCGACAAACTTTTGTACTTTCTGTGAATGAAGAATCCGAATCTCCTCCAATGCTCCCCCCACCCGTCCCATTGCTTGTTTCGCTCATGATGTTGTTTAACTGCGTTTTAAAATGCGTGTATTGTCCTTAATATTCCAAGAATGACTTTTAGTAGATGTGATATTTTTCTGGCTGTCCACTTGGCAGGTCAACAATACCAGTTCATTCATGCGTCTCTTAAAATAAGTCAATGAAGTAATAAATAATTAATTAGCAAATTCTTAAGAGCACAATGCACTAAAAGGAATAAGATTACTACTTACTTACTAATGTTCCAAAGACTTTGAAGGGTGTCCTGACCGCTGCTGCTGCCAATTATTTAAGAGGCGAAACATCCCCATAATCAGTCCTAATTCAGCCGACCCTTCCGTTTAGAATTTTAGTGGCCGAGGACGTTTCTGGGCAAAATAGGAGAGTGGAGATGACTAAACTTGTATTATTTGTTGTGATGGTGAGGCTGTAGAGAACTCATTTTGATTCTTGGCTCCTACCACACTTTGCTCCTTTTCGTCTCATTGCTCAGGGTCACACAACGTCTTTGTCTCATCCTTCCTGCACAAAAAAAACATAAGCATGCAAATGAAAATATCCGCATCCTACCCACTAAAACATCTCATTCTCAGCCATGTATGTCTAATTCCAAACTGCACACCCAAGTAATTAGGGTAGATTTTTTAAATAGCTGACCATTCTTGTGGTGAGAGGGCGAAAAATGGGAATGCATGCACTTTCTAATTCAAAATTAGAATTCGTATTGTGTTGAGAAAGAGAAGGGCGAGAGGTAAGTGCGTGGCGCTGAACTCGGTTGATTATCCGCGACTGGAGAGATTAGTTGGGGAGGAGACCCTTCTTTATAAAATGGAGGGAAGGGTTAGATCACAATTAACCCATCCAACTATAAATATTTATGCATGCATATGTATCTGCTGACCCAAGTGAGAGGAGGGATGCTATTTCGTCTCAGTGGTCACTTTCCCTGCTGCGTTGAGACGAGAGCCCTTCGTGTTATTATTTACTGTCCCGTCTCGTTCCCAGAAACTCTATAGTGAAGGAATATTAATAAGATTTTCTATGCGAGGATGTATTATGGGCTGGTCAATCAGGAATATTCACGTTCACACCTTATTGTTCTCATAATAGATGTGCATGTGAGGTCATTCCACCGATTCCTGCAAATTGAAAGTTCTAGACGCCTCCTCCAGTGACCCACGAGGACATTTCGGGCATCCATCTTCTACGAATTTCAACATGGATGAAAATTGTGCCATGAGATTCACCTCACGGTTCATAAAATTGGAGAATGCAGCGTATAAAAACGAAATGGTTGTTGTCGGCTGTGATTGCAGTGTGAGAGGTTGATGGACTGGACCCATGTTGCTGATAAAGAAATCCTAAAAAAGGTTGATCCTCTCCCTTTTCTCAAGTTTAGCAAACAATGGACTGAACGATGGGTCACCGAAATTATTTATGCTTCGTCCAGAAAAAAAATAATCAAACAGTGGAATGCATCTCGTGTAAATTCATTCATCGTCAGTAAAAAATAATGTTTATTTGTTTTGATGTAACATGTTTAGTAGTTATTAAAAATAGCAGGGGTGAAAGAATTGGCGAAAAATTATAAGAGTGAGAATATGTAGTCACGAAACGAGGAATAAATATAAGAAGAATGATAATTAAAAATATGTATGTGTTACATGAACCAGGTTGTGAGCCTGTAACGACTAATCGTGCTATTAGTCATCTTTGTCATATATGTGATCTAGGTAGGCTGATTTTCGGGTAGGACTCGACGTAGTCAGAGGTGGGCTTGGGCTTGGTGGATGTTTCGGCCAGGGTGAAAGCACGAGTGGGGGACATGATGGAGATGGAAGCAGGGGTGGTTGGGCTGGACGTGCTGCTGGTTGTGGAAGGTCGTGAAGAGATGGGCGAGCTGACCACTGAAGACGAACCGTACGACTTGGTGGGACTCGACTTGTTCGACTTTGGTGGCGACGGACACTGATGAGATTGTTGTTGAGCGAGCACCCCTTCTGCAAATAATCACGTTTAGAAAGTGGGAGCCAAAATCTTACCAGAGTGGTAGTAGCATTACTCAGGATGGAGTAGTTGATTGCTGGGTTGACGGTCAGGTTTGGTGGGAATGCAGAGTCCTTTGGCGTCGTGGGGTACAAGATGGTGAGATTATCCAGGTCGTACAAGCTGTCGGACAGGCTGCGAAAAGTTAGATTTTTTGTGGTGAAAGGCATCACGCTGAACGGCGTCCCGTCTGTCATAAGCAAAAAAGTCATACATTAACACTGTAAATCATTAAGCCCGTTATCCTTCACGACGACCATACTCACTGGCTGAGACGTAACAAATTGAAATTCCTCCCAACATCGAGTCGGAAAAACGGAGCAAGAAAGTGCCCGGTTTCCATCCCCTCAACATCTGTTCCGCCTCCAGACGACCTATGAACCCATACACCAAACCGTCTCGCCAATGACGCGCAAAATGCCTCTCTGTCACCTTCAAACAGCTGTAGAACCATTCCCAAAATACGAGGGGTGCGGTGGACATGTTCTCTTTGGCAAATCTGAGTTGAAATCAATTCGAGTTGAGATCAAGTTACATGGCAAAACGTAATTTTAAAAATCTCTCAAAACAACGCGTACCTCGCAAACGTGATCATCGTCTCCGAGTCCGACTTGTCGCTCAAATCGGGAGCCAACTTTACCCTGAGCACGGCCAATTGCCTCCCATCCAAGCCAACCCCAGTTGCATTCTTAAATTTAGAGTTGAGCATTTCAGCGAGTTTACTCCACGGAACGCGGTCCGGTACATCGAACGGGAGTTTGTTCAGAGTGAAATAATTGTCCCAAATGATGGTGGCCCAGGCATGAGCTTCTTGCACCCCGTGAGTGGTGGCCACCAGCGGATGGGAAAATGTGAATATCTGCAGAGAACGAACGGAATGAAGTGACGAAGCCTACTTATTTCGATCGATTTGTGTCTGTCGGTCCGTCAGTACGATAACTTTCGAACGAATAAATTTTATCTAGTTCGAATATCGACATCTAAGAATAAGGGGGAGTTCATTAACTGACCTTGTAGGTCGAAAGGTCATGGTCATTGCGTGATGAGGTCAAAGGTCAAAAATGTGTAATTTTTTATTTGGGCGGGTACGCTATTTAGGGTGAGGATTTCAGAAATTACCATCATTCCGAGGTGCGATGACCCCGTGACCGTGTAGACGAGGTCAGAGGTCATAAAACGTTGAAAGTCAAAAACGTCTCCTAGCAGATGGTACACCTCGAGTACTCATCTCAATGCACTCCGTTTTCCCAAATTTATTATGCTAATTGCTAGAGTTTATTATCCATTTTGTGTATTTATCGAGTCGTTAATTGTCGTGAGCTATTTATTTTCATACCAAGAGACGGTTCTCACCAACGTCGATCTGCATGTGGAAAAATATGCAGAATTTCTCATCCGTCACGGTGGGAAACCAGGCCGTGTTGACGAGGGCAGGTGGGTTGGGCCCACTTGCTACGCGATTTCGCCCACCACTCCCCTGCGAGGTGGCACTGGGCTGGTGACCACCTTTGACCTTCTTGTACTCGCGGTCAATCTTCTTCAACTGCATGTGACGGAAGTGGACGACGCAGAGGGCGAGTTGCCCGTCCTCCGAAGAAACAAATTCGGGTTTGGATCTGTGGACAGCACGAATTTATATAGGTCCCATAAAACAATTGCGTTACAAATTTCACATGGGTCCACATGCAACGATATATATGTAGTGTTAAATATAGTGCTAATTACATTTGCTCAGACCTATCAGACGAGAGGATACCGCAAGGGCGAAAATTTCCACTATTCAAGACTGCTTTGGGTGTGGACTTGATCAGCGCCTGCGCCTGTGGTTCATTTACGACATCCGCACTCACGGGAGAGCCTTCCACCAGCCGACCGTTCCAAACGGACATCACCTTCGCACCCACCAACCATCGGAGACGTATCGGATTTGGGAACCTGCGCATGCAACAAAAATTACCTCAATTTGTATCATCACCACTTTAGCGAAGTACAAACTGCAGTTACGACTATAGATTCTTCTGTGCCATTTGCCCCCCTCACCACGCAATCACTCACTTGGTATTGACTTTGACGACCTGTGGGGGCTGTGTCTCTACAACGAGAGTTTCGCCCAAGATGCGCTCAAACAGTGAAGTTAGCAAAGCTCGAAGCCGGACGAGAGTGTTCACAGGAATTTGTACGTTGTGATTTTGGTGAATATTGTCCTGCAGACGGTTGAAAATGCGCTGAAGTCCCTGCATCAAATCGAGTGTCATTTCGCACAGGGTTTGGATGACGTCGAGAGACTTTGTCGGCGGTGGTGGAGAAAGTTGAGCTTGCCTTCGATACACTTGAAGCTCTTCGTTGACCACGCGACCGACGAGCGTCTCGAGGAGATGCATGCATTCCTCTGCCTTGTCGACCAAAGTGACTGCATTCAAAGGGGTTGACCACTGAAAACAAGTTAAGCGGAGACGTAAAATTTATCCTCACAATGTTGACCATGGTTTTCAATAGGGTTTATTTGCCTGAGAAATTAGTGAAACCACAAAACATAATAAGCTACCTTAATTTCTGATCCAAAATCATTGTGCCCCGTCGTGCCGAGGAGATGAAACTGCTCCAGGATTTCACGGTCTCTCTCCGTTTGTCGAAGTTGGGTCCGTGTGGGCGACGGGGTTAAGTTGTACACAATCTCCTGCAACTTTTCCTCCAGGACCCGAGCGTCCAAGACGATGTCGGACAATGGAGGTATCGTGTCGGTATTGAGATTGTCAAGCACCTCCCATTCCATTTTTGCTCGTCAGCAGCCACCTCTTTCTCTCTCGCAGAAACTTGTCGCCTTTTCATCAACCCCAGAAAAAATCTACTGAAAGAGTCGTAATTGGGAGCGTTATGCAGAAAAGTAGTGTTGGTTTATTATGGCATTAGAAGCATTTGTATTTAACCAGTAAATAAGTAGCACCTACATAATGTGCAGCTTGATCAGTCGCCTATTCACTACTGACGTATGCACCGATCTTTGCGTCGACGCTTTTATGCGAGAGTGTGCTAGAAAGTAAGGTCTAGTTGTGCTAACGACTATTTTGGGCGAGAGGAGTTACTGGGAAAAGCTGAGGGTCGTAGGATTCCATGAAATGAAGTCATTATACATTCATGAGGCGCTAGTGTTATGCTAGATGGATATTTACTTTTGCTAACCACGAACGAACTCCAATTTCCCATATTCAAATTTATCCTACATAAGTCTGTTACGTGATGGTGCACAAACACATTCAACGTATTCAGACATCAATTGTTGAGATCACCTCGTCAATGGGCAAACCAAACCAAACAGATAATAAACCTGGGTGGCGGTGGTGGTGGTGGTGAAACGGAAGGCTGAGCTGACTGACGAGAGATCACACAACAAACAAACAATAATAACAGCCTAAAAAACGTCAATCGTTTATTAGTCACCGCTTGCTATCACCGTGCAATAATAGAAATTGAAGTGACTGCATAAGACGTGCCGTTTTCATGCACAGCACACAGCATCTGACATTTCTCCAATGATTGCTTCCTAGAGAGGTTCATGGGAAATACGTGCGAGAACTGAAATTAGCACCCACTTATGTACGAACCGCTGTGCATGGTTTAACCGGGTCGAAATATGAATGGAATAATTATAATCGTTTTTCCGTGAAACTCCTTCAAATCAGGTGACTATTTAAGTTGCCAATTAGTCTCGAATTCTCATATGAATGTTACCATCGGCCCTTTGTCGACTCGAGAGAACATAACGACTAAACGACGACGTGTATTTAATTTTAGGGCGGTGCAGACTGCTCTAACTTTTCGAAGAAGCCCAATTGTCATCACATATGTTTGTGCCAATATGAGCATCACTTTTTGATTGGTTTGTGCATGTTTAGCTTTACGGTACTCGAGATAGATAGAGTCTGCATGAGCATTGAATAGCAAACAAAGTGTTACATTACTGCCTAAATCTCCTCCTATTTAGCTGATGGATGCGCATCAATTGAGTGATCATTGTAGAGCAGCACAATATGCGGAAAAGTGTACTCAAGTGGTTTGCCCGTCTGTCTACTATCTCTACGAGATAATCATTCAAGTGTTCCAAGAAACTCCTTTGGAAGCGTCCCAGGGTTGGGCACACCCACCACCTCACAAATAATCTATGCCCCAGAATAAATATATCATGTAATCAGTTCACCAACCTCGGATTCTAAGAAACACCTTGTGTTGCATGCCCTAAAATAATCCAAGTCAACAAAGCATCCGACACAACAGATTATGACACGCGTAATTGCATTCTAACTAAAAATAAATAACCTGCATTCCCCACAATTTATTATGCACGATATAAATATGTACATATGTAGGTTCGTCTTACTTGTTGACTTCAGACGCGAGTTGGTGGAGGTGTCGATGGAAAATGTGGATAGCTTCTGAGACCAGAGAATTTTCGACATGCCCCACGACACGACCCTCCAGCAACAATAAAACCGTATGGGAATCCTCCTCCGAAGGAACAAAGAGTGAGAATGAGACCAAATTGGACTCCAGACAACGACTGGAATTACTGTTTCCTCCCATCTCGTTATTTTCTCACTCAACCTGTTACGAAATCGGTTACGAAATCGCAATTTCCTGACCTTTCCAAGATGCATTCATCTCCAGTCGTGCTCAATTCTCATCCCCACCTCCTCCAAGGCAAGCCACGCTTCGCTCTGATCGTGGAAACTGGACGAGTTTCATGGATGAAGAATTGCAGAAAACCTTGAAAATTTGCAAGCATATGGTTTCTTAGCCAATCTTGATTATGTTGTGGTAGGCCAAGGTATCTATGCACATTCGTTTACTTATTTACTGTGCTCGTAGTCTATTCTGTCTGCATAACCTGAACTTCACCTGTCTGCCTCACTGATTTTACTGCCACGAGTATCTTATCTTCATGTTCATAGAACTACTGCCGTCTTAACTTTGTCTTCCTAGATACTCAAATATTCGCAAAAAACTTTCATACATTCACGGCCTAGTTAAAACTTCGTGCTTATACATAAGTAAATATTATGAGAGCGCATGCAAGTTCCATAATCAATACCAAATCCAGATCCAGCAAGATTTTCAACTTTTCTAAGAAGAAGAACTAGTTGCGATCGAGCCGGTGATATAACAAGAAAAAAAGTGGAACTAATTGGCAGTATTGCAGAATTCGCTTCACGAGATTATTATACTAATGTATGTACATGATGATGATGATGGTACTTTATTCACATTTATTTATTCCGCAGCCTCCTCGGCATAATAGACTTTGCAAAACTAGTGCCTAGGCATACATGTTACATAACAGGAATATTTACCTAACACCCAATAAATTATCCTATTGTCTCGATGCAAAGTGTAAGACTTGCAATTTCATCCGCTCCTCTTAATCTCTAATCTAAATCTAATTTTATAGTTGTGGAACTACTTGGAGTTCAGAGAACTTTTTTCTCGTGGAACTCAATCGCTTCGAGCAGAATTTCGGCCTCCTCTTCAATGTCACGACCTAGTTCGATCACCTCCTCTTGGGAAAGTAGGCTCGCGTTGAACACGGCGTTGAGAGAAATACTGTTGTGAAAGGCAGAGACGCACAACATTGCGCCTGGAGGTCAACCAAAAATTACCAAAATTATAGCACAGGAAAAGGTATTAATTCATGTACAGACAACATCGTACCTTGCTGTCCTTGTTGAACTCTTAGAAAAAATGTCATGTAATCCACGGGACAATCTTGTAGCACCCTAATTAAGATCCAATTTATAATTCATGGACAATTAGTGTATCTTAAAGCAGTGCTCCGTACCAATTGGGCTGACCCGTAGGAAAGTAAGAGGTCACAAAGGGCGCGTAACGATAGGAGTTTATCAGTTTTCCTACGCAATTGAAATGTGACCCGTGAAGTCGGAAAGCAAAATATCCTGAAAAGAAAGTAAAAGAACTAACATCAGATTATATTCCGACTTCATTTTACTTGGATTAAGATTTTGATTGTTTTTGTCGTGCGATACCAATAATTGGGACTGGAGAATCTCGGAGGTCCTCAAAGTTGTTGTGCACAGTGCTTAAGCGTTCAACGGGGTCTTGGACTCCAACCGGATAGGAAAACATTGCAAACGAACTAAGCACAATAACCACAATAAAATGGGTCAATTAAGTACTTAGCTTTTACTTATTGAAATATTCTTACAATTTGTTGCATAACTTGTCCGGATGTGACTTGACGGGGACGGTGATGGCGGAGGGGAGCGCCCTGATACCTGGTCCCTTCCCATGACGGGCAATGAAGCGCTGAAGTCCTCCACACAAGAGGGAAAAGACCACGGCGGTGAAGCTCACCCCAAAGTGCCGCTTAATTTTTATGATGCTCGTGACTTTGACCCTGTCGCCTTGATAAATTGACCATTCGCGCGACTTTTGTGTCTCCGGGATCTTCCAGAGGAATGATGAGGCCGTGTTGTGCGCCAACTCGCCGAAAATGCGGAGAACTTTGTATGGGAGGCGGAGAAAGTAGCCAATCTCAAGACTTGTGCACTTGGGGGTTAGTGGAGCTCGTGGTCTGCTTTCGCCAAAGAGACGCTGAACAAGAAAGAGGAGGGAGTAACCATCCGCCAGAGCGTGATGTGACCGAATTATTAAGAAAGTGGACAACTCTCCGTTGAGCATCACGCCAGGAATGAGGGTCATGTCCCACGGGCTGCGCCTCGCCTCGAAAGTTCCACACAGAAGGTTCTTGGATATGGTGAGCAAATCTGGACAAGTCAGTTTAGGCTGCTTTAGACTTTTCCATATAATTACATACGTGTATGAAATCTGTCTGTTATTTCTCACCATCCGGCCTCATTTCCAAATTGTTCTCGTTGATGAGATGAACATGGTTTTTGACGTGGAAATCTTCCTCCCATTTCCAAAATTTATAACCCACCCAGTTTGTGATGTACTGTCATACATAGTTTTATGTAAGTGTGTAGTACAAACATAGTATGATGGATGTTTGCAAGCACCAACCTGTTTGAGTTGGGGGTAGCGGAGGTCACCACTTTCCTCCTCCTTGCAGTCCAACAGTCGCTCTTTGACCTGCTGCACAAAGAGGTCATAGTCTAGGACCCCTGTCACCAATTCGAGTACAATATAACCAAACATTTTTCGCTGTGTGAAATCTATTTACATTTTTATTCAGGCAGTACCTTTAAGCGAACCGTGCATAACGATCATACTTTTCACGTAATCGTCATCGTCCACCTGTGCAAAGACGCTGCTGGAGCAGGACAGCATTTCGTCCAGGTCCGGACGAAGGTAAGGTCGCAGAGCTTTTGCGATGGGTCTCCAAATCAGGGTTGGGATGAAAAAGATGAGCATGACAGGGATCAGAAGGGATATGAGAAGTCCTAAGACTGTCATGTACAGCTCCCAAGCCGTCTTCCGTACCATGTCGCTGTGAACCACCCACCGCGGTCCCATCGTGGCTTGTGATTCAGAACAACGGGTCCTATAGAAGATCTATTCCATATACGTTCTTGTAGTGTCTTTTCTTCTATATTTAAAAAAACGAAGGGTTAGCTAAGAGTCCGCTGAAGCAGGTCTTGCCTACAACTGAGGAAAGTGAATGAGGAAAACTTGGTTAAATTCAACGACTTTAATTACAATGGTCAAAAAATACAGATAATCATAAAATGTTTTTGTGATATCGCAGCTATGACATACAATCGATAATCAAAATGGGCATGTTTTAATTCACAACAAATTGCATTGAAGTATCGAGTGTTGAGGAAAACGGCAGTTAATTAGTACAATATGGTAGTAAATGAAATGGAGTGTGGTGGCCATTCTCACAGTTGTGCTGCTTGAATTGGTGAAGGAATTGAGGAAGCAGGACATTACCCATGAGTTTCCCAAGAGAGTTCCAAATAAGTGTGGTCATAATTTTGAATGGTGATGGGTGAGGCTGGAGTTTGGAAATCATTATTGCGGTCTTTACTGTACACATTAATTTATTTACTAAAATTTATTTGCTAATCATGACCGATGGTATAACTTGACACAAAATTGCCAGTGAAGTGGGTCAAGATTGTAAAATCCGAATCTGGCTGGTGCACATTTCACAAATTGGCACGAGTCCAACTACTCAGCTGCATATTGCATATTTAGTGCATACAATTTTTGCAGATCGGTGAGCTCACGTTTGTGATATCGGCGATATCATATCGCAACGCAAATATCTACATAAGGGCAAAAACATTGGTGAAATAATGGCAGAAAAGAGTGTGGTGGTGGACATCGTCTACTGCGGAGGATGAGGTTACTAAAATTACCTAAGGTTACTTACTTACACAATTGCTTACTTACAAAATTACTTAAGGTTACCACGCCAAGTTCCAGCGACTCAAACATCAACTGGAACATGTCTTCTCCGATGGTCAAATTATCATTGTAACGATTTTCTTGACCTCATTTACTTCTGATTGACCAAAACAAATCAATTAAAGTATTTTGCATTACTTGATTCCAATAAGTAGCATGGCGAGCCCACACCCAACATTTCACACCGATTTGAAGTTTGGATCCGAGATGGTCCGTTACTCCATTCGAAACGGGTAAGAACAATTTCATGAGTCTGCACTAATGGCAATATCATATCTTAATTTCTTTCAGGGAGGCGACGGAATGGTGGATAACGACCAAAAAATTGAAAATATTGTCCAACGGATCCGAGACCATTTGAGAGTCTCGGGAAACCCTATTAACACCCCGTAATTGTGTCTTTGTTATTGCGTGAAATGAAGCGAATGACCCCAACTCTGCTCACATGGAGAGGTCATTTGTGGATGAGTGCTCACGCGACATTATACGCAACATCATTATACATTTATTAAAAGCTTTATTATTATTACAAGACTAATAAACTTAAATGGTACAAAGCGGTATAAATACAGCATATCAATAAGTGTGCAAGTATATTTTAACTAAAGCTGGACAAAGTCACTCCATGTGCCCTGCGGTGCGTTGGTGCTGGTGGGCGTCGTAATGAGAAGGTCTTGATGTTCGTTCAGCAAACTGGACAAAAAGGAACTAAAATTAACCAACATGTTGTACAGTTCATCGAGCTAATTAAATGTGACATACTCGGCAATGTCGTTCATTGCATCATTTACAAATTGCTCGTCAGACTGGGCTGAGGTGTCCATTGAGTTGGAAGGCATTGGGCTGGTGGTGAGGTGCTGGTGGTCGAGAAAGCTGGGAAGGGTGTTGTAGGGTGGGAGCGGTAATTGCGGGGACATGTTGCTACCCATCGGACTCGTGTTACCCATCGGACTCGTGGGACTGCTGAAACTCCCGGCGTACATTGGACTACTAGCCCCCATTCTGTGCATAGATGTGCAATAATTCAAAACATGTGCGAAAAATGTCACCTGGTTCACACCATCTCACCATCAGTAAAATAAAGACTTACGGAGATTGGACACCTCCTGGGCTGTGAAGGGATGAGGGAGACATGAAAAATGAAGGTAATGTTCCACCAGACACTCGTCTACCGCCGGAATTACCATCAGGAAGGCTGGGAACAAGGGGGACGTATCCCTTTCCGGTAGAAGTCTCAACGTTCGAGTAGAAACTGCTAAACGCTTGATCCTGAAATTTTGGACAAAACCAAAATTAACCACGTTTCGATAAATCTGAACAAAATTTTACGTTCTTTGCAGTCGCCCATACCTTTGGAATGTCTGGGAAAAGGAACTTGAGTTTGTCCAAATCCCTGATACAATTTGCCAACCTCTTCTGCTTCAACTCATTTTCGTCCATGGGGGCGATGCAGAAGACGGACCGATCCTCGTTGACGACAGAGATGGAAATGGAACCTGGTTTCGAGTCCGAAAATCGGAGCATGAAAGTGCCTGGTTCACGATAGCTAAGCATCGACGATGAAACCTGCAAACGTGATTAATTGGTTAAACTATAAATTGACTACAAAATAAAAGTCTTCAACTAACATCACGATCTATAAATCCCACAAGAAGTCCCGCAATCCACAAGTCCTTGAGGTGCGTCTCCTTCCTCTCAATGTTCTTAAGGGCAGCGTAAACCCACTGCCAGAAGGAAAAGTTGCGTTCGGGGAGACTGTCCTTGCAAAATTCAGCCCACGTAATGTGCTCAGAGTGAGAATTCCCACGGAAGGCTTTTTGTCTGAGACATCTCAGATTATCCTCCGATAAGGGGCGCCCCGTGACTGACAAGAACTTTGCTGACATGAGTTGTGCAACGTCAACCCAAGGGACGCGGTTGGGCACTTGAAAGGGGATACGCCCCATCAGACCAAATCTTAAATCAAATTTAAATTAAAATCTAAATTTAATTACATCTTTAAATTAGATATATAAATTACGCGTTGTCCCATAAGATCGTCGCCACTGCTGTGGCATCCTGACTGCCATGACTCGTAACGACGACCGGCATAGAAAGCGTCCTCACCCGCAACTTGAGATCCCCCACATGCAGCCAAGACTCGAAAAGGAAGCACAGTTTTTCCTCCATTACGCTCTCCGACGAGTTGTTCCCTGACCCGCGGCGTTCCGCACGTTTGATTTCTCTCAGCTGAAGAGTAGCGAACTTGGCGGAGAGGCGTCGCGTGCTGCCGTTTACCTCGAGATTGACCTTGTCGTTGATGACGGACATGGCGGTGACGAGTTTCTCAGAAGTTGAGAGGGTGCGAGCCTGATCTTCACGGATGATGCAGGTGGTCACTTGTGGAAATGGGGAGGACATGTGGATGTGGAGATTTCCGATGAGCAGGGTCACCTTGGGCGCGGTGGGGAACTTGTTTCCCTTTTTCATCACTTGGGGCGGTTGCTCCTCAACGAGAAAGGCAGCGTTGAGGAGGTTCGTGATAAGGGTCACGAGGTCCTCCAGAAGCACGTCACACTCCACATCGTTGAACACGGCGTTACGAAGGCGCAGACGCTCCATTTCTTGGACTTGTTGTCTACTTTTCCACAATAGTTCGGCCAGATTTTCAAGGTATATCTACATAAATGAGTACATTACGTTGGTGTAAAAGGTGAATTGAAGTTTCCCCCAAAGTCAAGAGGGCAGAGGAGAGTGGGGGCAAGAAGTACTTCTAGTGGAGTAGTGGATATATGTATGTACCTGAACTTTGTCCAACGACACAGGATTCACTGCTGCGAAGCCGTTCGCAGCCTTTTGCTGCTGAAACTTCCAAACGAAAAGCTTTTCTTGAAAAATTTGAGCTTGCAGTTCCGAAATGCTTTTGGTATTGGTCCGCATGGCTTCCCAAAATTCATTTCGAAGCCTCATCAAAGACTGCAGCTGAATTAATAGAAAAAGGAATGACTTGTTAGTCCAGGCGGCATACATCACTCTTGTCCTCGTAATTGTGACTGGCAACACTTACGTTCCTCTCTATTGCAGAAATTTTTTGTGTGATGCCGTCCTTCAATGTCTGCTCAAAGCTTTTAGTTTGCTCCGTCTGCACCATTCCCTGGACAGAATCTAAGCGGTCTGAAAATACGAAAAAAGCAGAACTTGACGATGAGAAGATAACTTAAAGCACAAAATGGTCCCATTTTACATGCACGCGTACCTTGTAGCGATTGCTTATCTTGGAGGTGAAGGTCCAAACCATCCTGCTCTGCCATCATCCTTTTCAAAAGCTGGTTCGTCCCTTCTACCCGTTTGCTCATATAGGCGAGGTTGTCCATGAGCAGGTCCTGCTCCATCTGAACCCCGCTTTCAGAACGCCTCACCAAGTCGATCTCAAACTTTAAGCACTCTTGCATCCTTCGGAATATGGGAGCGGAATCTGTGGCGTGTTGCTCCTGAAATTCAAGTTAGCCTGTTGTACTTCTTGAAGTGCTGACATTAGTGTTGTGCCAAAGGCGTCACTATGTCGAATGTGGCAATTTTCTAGTAATCTGAGGATATTTATGTATAATTCCCCCTTTTCAAGACTTATGCGGGTATACCCCACGCAAATTAATCATAGTCTATATCACATCTAAGTTTATATACATACGATCCAGTAGTAGGGGTTGAACAGTACGTACATATGGATCATACGTGATCACTGCCTACTGGACAAGGTACACAGTTCTCAGAACGGGAGAAATTCATAGTAGAGGTGTCAAACAGATTGTTACAAAATAATCAAGTTCGCAAGTGACCAGGTTCCAAACGAGTTGGTGCATAAAATACTCTGATGTGTAAAAAGGGCGAAATGTGTTTAGCAAAACTTGTCCAATTAAAAAACAGGGGATAAAATGCAACAGACAATTTTAATTGCGCAACCCTGCCGTAGTTCACGGAAAGGGATTACGATTCTTGGAATCATCCACTTGATCCAACTACAAAAACCTGTTTACCAAGCCTAACTCACTGCCCACCACATACGTAATTATTAGATGTTTACTCCCAGAATTCAATATCAACGCACGCAGGTATGTTCGAGATGGATTCCTCATGTATAAATCAAGTAATAACAAAGAAACAATAAGCACCGGACTTGTTTTCGACAAATTTCAGTTCACACTTTCCTCTCAAGTTTCTGGAAATTCCAGTCATATTAGAAGATTTATTTATTTTGTTGACCCTGAATCATAAGATTATGAGCACGCGACGCAAAAAAAAGCGCAGCAAAATGACCCATAAATTGAGAATGCATTTTTAGTACCACATTTTTGTCAGGGTAGGAGTTAATTGGACCTGGCTACAGGAAAGTGGAAATTATTGTGTACCTTGAGCTGGTGAAGTGCAGAATCCAGTTTGTGTTTGACGAAGAAGGGGAAGGCCTCCCCTTTGGCGAGACGCTCCTCCAAAAGACCCAACGTCCTCCCCACAAAGTCACGAATCTCGAGTGTGTGCGCTGCGTCGTCCGCATCAAGGGGACGGTCCCCACTAGAAAATCAGCAGTATTGGGAATCAGGAACGCGAGAATTTATTGTTATTCTTTAGATTTAAATTGCTTGGATCTACGATTTATATATTTACTATTTAACTCTATGGATCTACGTATACATTTTAGGGCTTGAACACTCAACGGAGTTGGAATACTGGTTGATTTTGCAAGGGTTTAGCTCAGATCTATTCGTTCTCTTTGTGTGCAGTGTACACATATGCAGATAATTAGCAATTCGTACATATGAATTTCTGAACTAATTTAACCTTGCCTTGTTCTCCACAAGTGTTTGAATATGCTTCTCAGAATGAACTCTCAACGCAATTAGACAAACACCCACATTAAGTGTAAAAGTAGCACTGTGCATATTTTCCACAAGAATAGATGCAGCTCTACCACAGTGACATTAACTTATTGTTAATGAGATAATTATCATCGTACTGTGACTGTGATACCCATCCACATTGACTGGCGTATGCACAACAATTGACGACTGATGGCTTAGCCAAATGGCAAAAGTGGCATTATTACTTTGCTGATGGTGTCGTTTCTCTCAGCAAATGTCAACCAGTCGATTTAAAAATTGATGCTGTCCAAAATATAACTAATTACACGCATGCATAAGATATGATGCATGCATGCACAAGTTCTTGGCGTTGAAAATGCGTTTGAACCAGGATTTTGGACAGCATAAAAGTATTTACTAGTGAAATTAGGGAGGAAAAAAATATGCCATAAGGTAATTAAATGCCGACATAAGTACATACCACAACGTGTCCTCAATGTGTTGTGCGAATAGGTTGCGGACTTCGATGGGAAACGGTCCCTGTTCGTAAAACTGGATGAGCTCCTGGTGATATTCGCTTTTCAACCGTTGCACCTTTTCAAACAATGCCATGCTTAACGCCTTGATTAGTTAAGTAATTTGCTCACTTCGTTAGCGTTGAGCAGTTCACCACTTGCGCTTGATAACTTCTCTGGCAAACAAATGAACACGGGATGGCAGGGGTCGCATTTATTTATTAACTTGATATTGAGATTATCGCGTCATTCGATGAGAACAAGTCTGCAATGGATAGATTATTGGTGGTTGTGGTGGTGGACAAACTTGTATCTATTATACGCCGTCTATCTCAATTTTTTGCACATGCCAAAATTTCGCATCCTCCACCACACCAACAGCAGTAGCACTACTATAAGAACGCTGTATGTCAAATGCCCATAGACGAGTTTGTGATGCTGCTATTTTGCTATGTAAGTAAATATGCAAGTACATGCTTGTTTTTTCGTCTTCTCTTCTGGTCTTGCAGACACGAATGCGTTACGTACATGTACCATTCATTCAGCGACATGGTTTTCAATGGATAGTGACCAGTTCCGAGAATTGTGGGTCTACGAGCTAAGCACCACTTGTGATCAACATTAGCATAAACCACAGAAGAAGAATTACGTGATCAGGGGACGAATAATATAGAGGTGGATGCCTGTTTATGCGAATATTTTACATGAATAGTTTGAACAACACTACGCCTTCTTATGCTTAATTGATACGACATTCTCCTCTCCAGATCCTCCAGGCTGGATAGAGTTATGTACATATTATGAGTGATTGATGCGGTTTTATCTTCGTATTCGTTGAAAATCCTATGAAATTCTATGAAACGAATGGCTTATCAGAAAATTGTTCCGAGACTTTGGTACATTATGAGCTCATTTTACAAAAATCAAAAAAATATTGTGAGGTCAAGAGATGATGAGGGGTGCAAAAGTAAAGAACGCGTTATCTGTAAATATGTCAATTTCTTTTAATTTTCTTTATTACATTTCCTTTATTCCATCTCATCTTCATTTTGTGTCATCATTATATCGTTAGTATTTTTAGTACAAGTAATGTGTATCGTGTATGCAACAATGATAAGCTTACACAAAATGGAAATACCGGACTAGATTGCGTTTAATCATTTTGCTTTTAAATTAGAAATGACTAAATTCGTCAACAAAGGAAAATTATTTTTGGCCGCCGCATAATTATTGTTATCGAGTACCTATGTGTTATTAACAGCTGTGTTTGTGTGTGTGTATATATGATAATTCTTAGAAAATGATCAATCAACAATGGTTCAAAAAGTTTGTTTTACTGCCGAGATGATGAAGTTGATGTGTAAATCTAAAGAATAACATTGCATAAAATTACTTGACTCCTCGTCATCTCATCAAATATACTGCTGAGCATTCTTATGTGACTGCATTATTCCTATTGAAATTCCTGTGTGATCACCGAAATTGAGGGCCTTTTACCCCAGATGAGAAGCTTACTGAACGAAATACTGCTCTGCTCCGAGAGAATTTAGTTGAAACAGTTTTGCTGCGTTATAAGCCGCTGCTGGTAATTAGCTAATTCATGAAGTATAACAAATTCGACTATTTGGAAAGAACCGTCACCAAGTGGTAAAATAAGTGACCACGAAGATTGTTAGAAAGGTTTTTGTTGCAAAATATATTTGGCGAAGAACAACTTTTATTCTGTGGATGTCAAAAACTGACGTCTAACTAACGGTGGTAATAACCTATCGTACAAACGCTCCTCGTGGAATATCAAAATTTCTAGAAGAACAAGAACAAGTAAATCGTAAAATTGAGAAGGATCGCAGTTTTCAAGGAAAATGAGAAACGACAAGTTATTTAGGATTACTGCATGTCTTCCTCTATCCACTTATTTTGCGATTGATTGCCTAAAAATAAGCGACCTAATAATAATTATAATAATAATAGTAAGTTTATAGTAATTCTAAAATGTTATTGTTTTGGAGGATGATGGCAATGTTGACTGGCTGATGGTGAGGAGGAGGATGTCGTACTGCTGACCGTGCTGCTACTGCCTTGTAGCACGGGAGGCTGACTTATTATGTGGGGGGCGTGGTGTGGGTGGTGATTTTCATCCGACTGGAACGACACCGACATTCCAGAGTCTAGAGAACCGCAACTTCCGCGACGAACTGGTTTACCTAAACAACGCAAAGCTGAAAGATTACAACAGGATAGTAAAATACTTATTTATCTTCTGTTGACATAATAAACCTACATTGGTCATTGATATCTAGTAAGGAATTGCTAAAACGCTTAATTTTTCCGACATCGACACCAGAATCTCGATCCCTGTTCTCTTTGGAAATGGTTTCAATTCTGGTCATCTCATCCGACTCTGCGATGGCTTCTCTCAAATCTTCGGTAAATTTGGCACGATCGTGCTCGTTTCGGGCATTGAGATTCAACAACGTCTGTTCTCCTCGCTTAAGGGCGAGACCATACTCAAAGTATTGGTTCGAGAAGAGGGACAGGGTCAGTCCTATAAACCACAAAAGTTGGTTATTTTCACACCGATTGCATGCATACAATATTTTCGAAAATGAATCGTGTGGTTACCTTGAAGGGGGTAACTTTGTCGGAACGAGTACGTCACAGAGTTGCGCTTTTTGTGGAAGATTTTCGTGAGGACCAGAAGATCGTTGAAGAGAAATACTTCACGTTGATGGGTCCCTGCTTTCTCCTTCTTGTTGGTGTCGGGAACTTCGTAGAGGCGACAGTAGCATACGAGGCGACGATGGGGCACGGCCAAGTTCTGACAAAATAAACAGACACACAAGAAATATAATTCATGAACTACATACAAGTTGGCATCTCAAAATTTGGTGAATTTGTTATCTATTTTTTTATTACCGGTTTCTTTCCAACAATGGTCTGCTGCACCTTCATGACTTGTGTGACGTGGTCACTGCCAGTCTTAAATTCTGTGGCCTTGATGCGGTCATAGATGCCGACAAGGATTTCTCGGTCGATATCCCCACCGTCATCAACGCTTCTCAAGTTTTTGATAAAATCGTCCACTTTCATTCTACGGTCGGCTTTAAGGTGTGGCGTGTGGAGGTCAGTGTTTAGCATTATTATCGCAAAGGCGAGGACAAACACGGTGTCTGCACAGTTGCGAAATTGAGATCTGTTGTGGAGACAGAAAACACAAATGTGATTAAATTGAGAGCACATTTCCTGTTGGTGCTCACATAATGAGATTTATTAGGACTTACACAACGTGCGGGTTGCAAGCAGCGTATCTCCGACTAAATGACTCCATCAGCCTTTCAATTTTTTGAGCTTCACCTGGCATCCTGTAGTAACACTGGAATTTTCGAAGTGCCAGGTCCACTGGGAGCGAAGACAGATCAATTTCATTTACAAAGTGCCTGGAAAATTAAAAGCGATTGAATTATTATTGATTCTGCCTCACAGAACAGAGTTGAGAATTGCTGCTCTAATTACTTACTCTAAGCAAGACATGGAGAAGGGTGACTGAAGGTTTGTGAGGTATTCGCCAATCATCTGCTTGCTCAGACCCTTTCTCGACACGAGGAAGCGAGCCACGCTGGGAGGCGAACCCTCCAAAAACTTCTTCTTGACGAGGTACGTCACACCCACTTCGGGCTTCTTGTTAAACTGGAAAACAAACATTTTTATACAAGAACATCTAAATCCAGTCAAGCACAACAAACACTGCTGACTACAACATGTATACGACTATTAATAACAATGAATTGGACAGCGAAGGTGGAGGAGGGGGAGATTATTGATTTTGATATTTATGCGGCCTCACCGCTCATGAGTGAAAATCTGAAAGAGTACTCTCGTCGCCGGATTAACGCCCCTGGGACAAAAAAGTCTAAAATGGCGGTGACCTTCCTCGCCAACCAGAAGGCCTCACTTGATTCCCGAATTCTGTAAGTTCTACTGTTTTTACAAGTATGAATTTGGCACGGGCGAATTCAACTATTTAACCCTACAAATTCAACTAAGAGTTGGCATAGTTAGCTTCGTGATTAATTTCGCAAAGTTAGAAAAATTCAAGTTTACTAACTTATTCACGATACCAACATTCGAAATTGAATTGCCCATATTTATGTATGTTTTTATCACAGGGCGAAAACTCAAGGCGTGATTCAGGATGTGGAGGATGAGACACCCCCATCCTCTCAGGTCAAGGTAAAACTCAACAAAACGAAGAGGGTGAAGGGGACGGTCGGCAGATTCAAATGCAAGTCGTGCACATACGCAACGAATCACAAAAACGACTTTGCCAAGTACGTGCCACGATATTGTTCCTATTTTGTCGTCTCATACCATTTGTAAAACAATTTTACTGCAGGCACATGACGACCCATAGTCAATCGAAGCCATTTTCCTGCAAGAAGTGCAAAAGGGGATTTGGTCGGAAAGATAACCGCGACCGTCATCAATCAAAGTGTGGAGGGAGCGGAGTTGGCGGCAAGAGCTCCATTATGGAGTTAATTACTAAGAGGTAATACCGACAAAATGTACTGTATAATGGATTTAAATTGTGACTTTTGATGTGCTGTAGAGCTGAAGCTCTAAAAGTCCCCGTTCCAGAGATTAGGGGTGTGTACAAAACCCCCAGCCATAAGTATAGACTGGAGAAGTTGAAGGTGGCGGAGCTGGAGAAGGTGATTGCCAAGCTAAAGGTATTTTCTTGTGTCTTTTATGGTTTAAAAAGCCAAATTTAATTTTGAATGTTTGTTTTTACAGGAGGAGAACATGCGCCTGACGAAAGAGGTCGCGGCTCTCAAGGGGATTTCGGAGCCCCCAGAAGAGAAAGACAAGTCCTGGTGGTCAGAATCGGAAGAAGAAATGGATATTTAAGATTCAGGGTTGTTTTAATTTAAATTTAAAATTAGTTTAAGCTTAGTCCTTCGTGTTTTTTGTAGTTAAACTATTCAGCTGCTAATAAAACCAAATCAATTTTGAACATACGCTACAACAGAAATAAAAATTACCAAGTTCAGTCCCACGCGGTACAGTCTTTTCCTCAAAATCTCACTCTCTTCGGTACTCAGTGCCGTCTAGAAAAAAAACAGAATGCAATCCAACCACAATTAGCAAACTGTTGGTCATGAGGGAAATGTACAAGGTGTAATCAATTAAGTAAATAGTTACCTTTCCGGTTGAAGAGCCCGTGGAGAGATTTGGCGACACATTTGTGAGCGGGGTTGTGTTGGTGGACTCTGAGGATGACGAGGTCGTCGTCCCATTGACATTGGGGGAACTATTGGAATGGGAGGAGACGGCGGCGATCGTGGTGGTTTTGACCATGAGCAGGCCGGGGGCAGAGTTGGGGCTGTATTGGAGCGAGTGCTGGTGGGGAAGGAGTTGGCTGCCGCTGTGAGATTGTGGAATGTGGTGAGGCTTTTGGCGCTGCAAACGACTAGAAGTGCTCGTCACCACCACGCTGCTCTCCGAATGTTGGTGAGGCAGGTAGTGGGGGTGGTGATGGTGGTGCTGGCTTTGGCTCTGGAACTGACGGTTATTTTGCTGTTGCAACTGAAACAATTGATTAACATGTAACCATTTGTACAGGAATGAAGTATCACGGAAAATGAGTAATTCAAAGGAGCATATAATACCTGCTGCTGATTATTGTATGCGTTTGGTGGGTGGTTGTACTGAGGGGGTTGCTGCCTGCTCGTCTGTCTGTAGCCGCCATTGTGTTGGTGGAGGTAGTGGTACTGCGGGGGGAGGTTGCTGTGCGACTGGTGCGTGCTGTGGTGGCTGCTGACCATCATCTGGACTTCCACTTCGGTCACGTGTGGAAGCTCATGAGGCCCTTCAAGACCTTCCTCCAACCCGTCTAGGTTGAGGTCATGGTGGTGATTGTTGTGGTGGTGGTTGTGTCCGCCTTCTGGGTGCACCTCGATACAAATGTCACATCTGCACAAGACAAAAAATAATAATGAAGATAAATGCTAAACTGATTTTTCCTTTCTCAGATCCTCCTCCTCCATGCATGGACATTTTGATACAAAAAACGCATGAGAATGTTATTTGATTGTCGGCTAATTAGAGAAGAATGCGGCTGCTGAAGTTGGCAGTAGCACTAACGACCCATCGCTAATGTCGTGCAACATTAAAATGTCCATTTATGTCGCAACGTAGTTAAGATAAATAAAAGTGCGTGCCCAAGAAAGAGAAATACAGCAACATCCTTATTCCTTAGAATTTTCCTTATTCTCCCAAATTCCAACAACTACCGAGTTGAACGAGCCATTAAACAAACGTTTGTGCGTTGGCGTATGTCCAAACACAACAACGAAGACAATCAAACTTATGAATTCAGTCACCTTATCCGATCGGACCTTCTCGCTTAGGTTTATCAACCTCTGATCTGCCGAGAGGGAGATGACGATAAACTCTTTTTACGATTAATTCCTTCTGGAGTGGAGGAGAAGAATTAGACGCACGGGAAGCAATGGGCCACGAGTAAATAATTTTCAGGTAAATTGCCCTCAATAAAGCTTGTCATGGGTGAATGGATAATCCAGACGCCCATGAAAGGAAGAGCTCAGGATTATTGATTGTCACTTTATGGGCTCCATAAAATAGGATGGACTTTTGGATATTTTAGTTTCTCTCTCCATCTCTGTTTGGATAAAGATTCTGCTCTCGAAATCACCATTTTCATCGACTGCTTTTGCTATTAAAAATTCAATTCCATTTTCCATCCACTAAAAACTAAAATCCATTCTCTTCTACCTCCTAAAACTAAAACGATGCCTGTAACCACTTCATCAATCAAGTGCCATGGTCTCCACCTCCGTCAAGGGAATTGGTGGTGACGATGGTCATTTGTCAACCACAAGATCGCACTTCCCATGCAATTATACGGCCACAGTATCCCATGTCAAGCCGTCCTCATGCTCAAGTTCAAGATTGCATTTTTTCAGGCCTTCTTCTTCCTACATATCTACTTCTTCACAACAAGTGTTAAACTCTTCGGGACAAAAAGTGCAACCAGAAATTCCACGGAGCGAAAGAGTTCGTTTGAGAACTTATGGCAAAGTTGAATTGATGACGTGCCTTTAAATTCACGTGCTCACTTAATACTTATTCATCTCTCTCTCCAGCAGTCGCACAAAAAAGTTGCCTCACCCACCAAACAAACCAAACCAGGAGGAGAGAGAATTCCTTCGTGCATTGCATTGCCTAATCTCGGCTTATTTTATGATGGACACGGAATTGCAGGGATTCCTTCCACTTTTTATACGCATTCTTCCTCAGCAACTGCCAACATCATCCACATTCATTCGTCATCCATCCATTCCTCCTCCAAGAAGTGGCACTAAAGTGATTAGCACTTCCTGTTCGTCTCTCATCTTATTAATGCGGAACCCATAATCCGAACATTTTCCTCCCTTGAATTGATAAACTTGTGAAAAATGAATGATCCATCCATCCCAATAATAATCGATATGCGTGAGTTCGGCTGTCGGTTCAATGGCCAATTAAGTCTTCTACCAGATTCTGCAAGTGGATGAGATGGAAATGGAAATGAGATGCTGATGGAGATTTCTGGGCTGAACGACTTGTTCAAAAGTTTCATCATTTCATCAAAAGAAAGTTTCTCTTGAAATAATTAAATAAGTGAAATGAAAGGCAAGGAAGAGGAAGTCGTAACCAGAACTGCTCGGTCGCTAACGTCGTGGTAAAGTACATATATAAATAATGGTTCCATGAGATGACAGATCTACCAAGTCGTCGTGTCACTCCACTTGATAAGAATAAGTCATAAAAGGAGAATCTTGGGAACTTTTATGGCAGCCGATGGATCACAAAGGGAGAAAATAAATAGAACTTACGAGTTGACTGGAGGGGAGCTGGAGGTTCCGACGACATTGTTGTTGATTCTGCGAGACAGTCTTCGCTCGGTTTTGATGCGCTGGAACTCTTTCACCATGCTGTACCTGCACCCACGCAAACAAACAAAAAATCACATTAAATCACTGCTTCATACAGAACATGCTATTGTTGCAGTTGTCACTCGTTGCACAAAATTGTTGACCACTTATCATCATTATGTATTTTTTATGTATGCCTCTCCAGTATTTGGGTAAGTATTTGTCTACGCTAGAAGAGACACTTTCATAAAGTAAGCTTGCACATATAGCTAAACCATTTTCGCCCATTACACAAACATCAATGGGGGTGCATTATGACAAAATGCAAAGGTGATCTCGTATACAAAGTTGAGGAGGTTTGTGTAGTTTGCATCCACTCACCACAACGACCCCTCCGTCCTTTATGGGAAAACACCTTTATCGAGTGTCCCCACCCTTTGATTGCCAAGAAGGAAAACAACAAAACGTTGAAAAATAGAAATGTAGTTCTCAGTTTTGAATAGACTTGAGAATGAAATGGGCAAAAGTGAATGACAAAAAGATGCCATTTTGCTCTCGAAAAGAGAAAATGATTTGAAAAGGGAGGATCCAGAAGCCTTGACTTGTTTGCTTTTGCTTTATGCCAGAAATTTTAAGGTTTGAGAAAGGACATGAAAAATAAAGGTGTTCAACTGCACGACAAATACAAATACAAACTAAAACTGCAGGGGTTGCGTTTCATTAAAAATTTTGAAACCCATGAAATTCAGCTTGTACAAACAAATCTAAAAAGTTGATGGGATACTTGCGGAAACAAAGTGACAGGGCATAAAATAATGCGTAACAGCAGTTGACATTTTTTTCACTTTTGTCACAAATCAACTCTGGATTTTTAATATTTTTTTCCCTAAAGTCCATTCGTTACAGTTTCCTCATTCATCGTGAGCTGTGCCAAGACGAACAAGTGAAATTGTAACGAAACTTGGATTGCAATGCGTAATAATAATATCTCCCAGGCTGCGCTCACTTAATGAAATATCCGGTTTGCGGCCCACTCTCATCCACACTTATTGATTGATCACTTTCAATGTAGGAAACAGGATCATGCCAAGAAGGAAACAGACCAAGCTTGTCTTGTTGTGTTTCGTGGCTGCTCGCTTTTTCTTCGTTTAAGAAATAGCAACAAGACGAAGGCGAGGAGAATGCTAAAATTATTCCTCAACGACGACATGCAAAGTCAGAACGACCAAGCCGCTAAGCTCTGTAATGACGCGCTTCGTCCTGTGTCAAATGCACGTTTATTGCTGCACACCAGCCGACTTTTCTCTTCTCCAGTGCAGAACTTGAATAGCCCACTTACTGTTTCCTCCCACATTCAGGTCACGATCCTCCAAAAGGACGCTTGCAAATTCGGAGAAAGCTTTTTGCCACCCATACATCACCATCTGTGTCTGTCTCTCTCTATTCACCATTAAAGGAGTGAAATGGCTTTCGTGCAGAAATCCAAGGCGAAAAGAAAGCATGCCATTTATTTCCAGTTACAGCAGCGCAGACTGCGAAACAATCATTGCAGATTGGTCCAGTTGATGCGGACGGAAACATGGGATGAGATCCTACCGTTAAGGAAGAAAATGTGTAGGCAGCAGCACTTATAACGTTTCTGTTGTTGCGTGAGTGAGGTGGAAAAAGCCAGTCGGTCGCTCAGTAATTGATTCGAATTCACTTTCTCCAAAGCCATAAAATGAAATCGGGCTGCTTAACTTGCTGGTTGTTGGTGTGATTCAGTGGGACGTGAAACTGCGCTCTTTGCCAACTTATTCCCTTTTCCAGCTTTGCTCGACTTGACTTGGCCACTTACTCGGCTTACTGAATAAAAGTGGTCTGGTCCTCATGACATTTTCACGGAAAACCTCTCTTCCTTCCCAACTTTTTAAGCCCTGGAGATTTTACTGTATGCTCCTATGCCTTGCAGCTAATAATGTCACAGACATCTTGTCTGCTCAATTATTAAATTTCTCTCCGCTACCCAATAAAGAACTTGGAAAGTAGGTAAATAAGTAAATAACCTGCTCAATTGAAAGTCGATCTGCTCCTTAATATATGAACTCATGAAGTGGACCGAATTGAGGATTTATTCCATGACTCCTGGATTCGATCCAACAGCGTATTCAGGTTATTCTCATTTTCGCAGCAGCGATAAAAAATCTCGTTGAAATCGCAGTCAATAATAAATACACACCTCCAGACGAAGTCATTGCGACAAGTGTTCAGCCCTTTAACGTCTACATACTTCCAGGCAGGGCACATACATTTCTGTTCAAATATAGAAGTAAAATTTGTCGCCGCCTCTTCTACCTTCGATAACCACGTATATTAACCAGTTGGTAGTTAGTAAAATAAAAATAGAGATTGTATATTTCTCAGAGTAATGAAAATGTCAAAACCAGAGGCAGCTCATGTATGGGGAGTTATTTATCGAGTTCAGAACCACCCACCCACCCAACAGCGTTATTACGAAACACGTCAAATGCAAGATTTGAGCTCAAATCGTAATTTATCAGGGCATTAATTACCATCATCATCCCAAGATTGGATGCATCATTAACTTTGTTACCGTCTGACTCAGGCAAAAAAAATCTTTCAGAAGAAGAAAAAATCGTGCACAAAAATTGTTGCAAAATTTTTCGCTACACAGATCTGCTACCTATCTTCTCGAGACTGATGAAGGTGAGGCAAAAAGTGTGGTGGAGAATTACAAGGACTGCAACTTAATTATGATAGGATGGGTGATGTAACGAATATAGAGGTCCTTCTATCCTGTGCAAGAGCGGAATGTATACATTATTCATCATTCTTATGGCAGTGTCGCCGTGCAAAATGCATGAGAAGAAGGGGAGATGATTTCTTGCAGCAATTTTAAGTGCATATTTACTCTGGTCATTTCATTATTCTCGCAATTTCCTCCAAGTAAATAACTCAAGTACTTATTTACTTGTGTGTACGCTCACATAGTTTTAATCTTCGTGCTTTATGGGACAGTCCTACAACTATGAATTAGCAATTTGGCATTGGGAAACTTGGACGTAAATGACAGAGAAATTATTCTCAAAGGTTTCGTTTTACTTAAACTGGGAACAATTAAGGCTCGATCGCACACTGTTTAAGCAGAACTTCACTTTCAAACCCACCGTCGTGAACGAGAACAAAGGCAACAATGCCGATCTCGCAAGAATGAAATATTATCACGAAGCTGATCAATACTCAATCAATCCACGGTGTTAGTCGTTGGTGTAATCGATATAGCTCTACCAAGAGGATGCCGTCCTGCCAAAGCCAAGAGAAGATAGATACGCAGAGAGTGTAAGGTTTCCATTTGTTCTTGTGTGGCGGCCGTGTGCACTTTCCCATTTAATGGTGTGTTTGATGCAAATTGACTGCAAATTATTTGCACGACTTTCGAATTGCCTTTCATACTCAATTAAAATTCGCTCACGTTCAAATCACGAAGATAAATTGTCAAATAAGCGATGTGATCTCTACTACTCTCAACTCTGCACTTATTATTTGCTTAATTGGATTTCCCATTGTCAGAGGATAAACGTACCTTCGATAAGCGCGTTGAATGACGAGAGCCGCATCTCTCGCAGGGACGCCACCGTAACGACGCTCCGTGACGAATGCAGAATCTCCTGGGTCCTGTAATCACACAAAGTAAAACACTCGAGTTAAATCTCAGTAACGGTCAAAATCCCACAAAATCTGGTATGCAAACATAGAAAGACTTTTATATATCCGATGAAGGAATCAGTTTTTTGAATCAGAATCAATAATCAGTAGCGAGCAACTCGAAATGTCAAGTCTGCAATTTTTTACCTCTCAACTATTTGTCGAGCTGAACAATATATGACGACACGATCACGGACAATTTTTATCGTTTGGTATTTCACAACCAGCCCAACCACTGCTAGTGTAAGCATAAAACGATGAGTGCAAGATTTATGGTTCCACTTAAAAAGTCAGGTGTGGATCAGAAGGAGGAAAACTGGATAAACTATTTTTGCACTACTCACTGCGGGGCTGAACTTGGAGGAAAAGGGTGAGATTTTGCAAATGAAGGTTACACTGTTGCAAATCCCAAGAAGGAAGGTATTCTAACAACACAATTGCCCGTTGGCAGTGTGGGAATGGAAATTCTCTTCAATCCTTTGACCACGTCAACAACATTATGGCAGACGAAACTAAAAACTTCCCAACTTCAATTCATGGTCATGATAAAAAATATGATAAAATTTTCAATGGACGAACAAACTCGCTCTAAAAATAATAATTGATTGTCTAACTGTGCTATTTATGTAGTGCACTCTTTGTCCAGACATGGCTTCGCTTGAACTGGACCTTGCTATTATTTCTCACTGCAATTCAATGCGATGTGCGAAGAAGTAAAGATGTATGTACGAACTAGGAGGGATTCATTCATCTCGCATGTAATTTGATCAATCGCTGCATCATCAACCGATATAAAAACACATTGGACACCAATACGAGTGATGTAATCAAATTCTCTGAATTGAAAGATTGGCCAACTAACTCATGTGTCGATAATTCTTCGCATGTACGTTCGCGAACTTTGACTCCAGAGAAATTAACATACATATCTCTCATATAAACGTAACACTTTTCCAGCAAGGGCACGTGAAATGGAGTCTTAAAGGAAGAATCTCAATAATACAAATAATAAAAATACCAAGAAATGTGCGCTGTATATTTTACTGTATGGAATAAAGCAATTCTTTCATGATGGCAAAAATATTTTGATTCTTTACCTATAACAAATATTCCGTTTTTTTTTCAGCAAATATTTTCATTTGACAATAATATTTTGCACCCTCAAGGGCTATGAATTAATTAGAATTGCACTCAAATTGTGTGCTAAAAAAGTTACCTCCCGAGATTCGGCCTTGTTATTATTCGCCTCGTTGTTGTGATTGACCAAAATGGGGGCCCCCACGACCACGAGAGCAATTCGTTCATCCACTTGTGTAAAACGGACAAAAGTTCCCTCTGAATTTGGGAACGTGATTGGAGTAAATGTCTCCACATTATTGTAATCATCCTCCAAATTGCTTCCTCTCATGCGAGGCACAATTACAAAACTTTTCGATGGAATTGGCCCACGACTGCTACGTCGACGTCGATTCATCACAGGGAGAGATCGGGCACTCAAAAAACCTCGCATTTTCACCATTTTACTATTTCTTAAATAACAATCGAGCAGTCCTCGGAACAATTACAATGTAAAATTTTGTGCACTAACAAGATACACTTGAATAAGAATAACATAAATAATTATTGTTATGCTGAGTGAAGGTAGCACTAATAATACTTTCGAAATTCATCTAAAACAGTGATTAAAACTTGTTTGTTTTGCTATGAATTATGGAGCGACTCTTCGCCTAATGATTTTTTTAACAACTTGTGCACAGGATGTAGCGCAAACTACATAAATTACAGTGTGTCTTGGTTAGTTGTTGCTGCTGCGGCTGTGGGGATTAACTAATGAGTTTTCCTAACTATTTGGTTTAGGGAGAAGAAGCTGAGAATTAATTGCTTTTCCGCCGATAAGTAATTATTGTGGATAACACCATGTAGTTGGAGGCAGAACAGCTTGTAGTACACTAATGAGGATCGAAATGCTGCAAGCTCAACCATCAGCCACGTGGCCACTGACTTGGTGACACATTGGTCCCTAAATAAAAATTAAGTGCTTTACCAGTAACTAATCCCTTCATTTCTTGGCTAAAATTTCCTTGGCTGGAGAATGACAAAGCATGAGTCATGAGTCATCATCATTCTGGTCGTAATGTAATGTAGCATTCTCACCAACAAGCAAAGTTCCCAGGAAAAAGACTGTGCAGCCGCAAGGAAAGCAATCTACCCCCTGGTCTCATAAGGGTCTCATAGCTACATATATATTAAGAAGACGGGGACACGTTTATTAGTCCACATCCCAACATCTCAATCCCAACAGGATTTCAGGCATGCTCCTAAATCAGTTCAGTTTATGACTTTCTGGTCGATGCTGCCCATTTTATTTGGCCGTGCAGCCCAGTGTAATGTAATTTATTTACAGCTCAGGGCAAATAACCAATCAATCAATGAGCCTGTGAAACAATGTCACGTCATTTCTCATCATTCAACAAGAAGACTGATGAGACAAACAGCCCCCAAACAATCAACGAGGGGCAATTAGTGATTGGACATATTTACAGTCGATTGTGAAACACTTTTTGCCTTTTGGTGAGGAGAGAACCATGAGAGTCACATAAATCACTTCATTAGCCAAATCAACTCTTGATGCATCTTTTCCTCTCCTCCTCCCTCCTGATATCGCTGATATTATGCTGCAGCCTGATGGTGGTGACCGATAAGAAGATGACAAACACGGTCAACCTCTTCTTATTAATAATTATCTTATCAGACGCATCCATCGCTTATCACGTGCCCAATTATTATTTATGCAGGAAGCAGGCAGAGTGTGTAAAATGGATCTGTTTGTGAGCAGAATACTCACATTGTCGATGTTCTGACGATTACAGTTTCTGATAATTATTTGCATACTATTATTTGGACACCTTGATTTGAGGCTGGTTCCCTTCGCAGGATCGTTTAATACTCGTAATACGAGTTAGTGACGCAGGCAAATAAGTACTTAAATGTATGCACACTCTGTGTTGGACCTTTCGTAAAAAAGCCGTTTACCAACCAAGATCATTTTTATTTGTTGTGCAGATTTGCAGCCTTTGAGGCATTGGATGCAATTACTCCATGACGAAAGCACATCATGGATTACTTGCTTATTACTTATTATTCATTCTGCTTATTAGCACCAAAAGACGTAGAGTCAAATTCAAGGCAATTCTACGCTCTCTGTTGCTCCTGCTACTGTATTTTGCAAGTTGAGGGCATTGCAAAAAGCATGCATACATAAATAACCAAATAATTGTTTATTGTCTCTTCTCAGCCAGTGTGGAAACTAATTGTGGAATCGCGTGGAAAACATGATTGGTGTTTGAGTGGGTTGATTAATTTGACTGATAGAGTTCGATCATCATCAATACGTACGTTGCTTCATCGCGATGTCACATATCATGTACTAAATAAGGTCTGATTATCACTTGTGCAATTCCATCACATACATCTTTACGCTCATGATATCCATTCGTGACAGAAAAGAGATCTAATCATTGTCAAATTAAGTTTTTTCAAAGATTTCATATTGAAAAGGCTATTTTTTAATTTGTTAATTCTGCAGTGTGTTTGATCCTGTTACTCAATTAACCGACCGGCCATGCGTTACTCGGTTTTGCCATTTCAATTTGCACGGTTAGCGTGAAACGTCAGAAATTGAGGATGGAAACCTTGATAAGAAAGGTTAAATAACAGAATGGTTTACTTGAGCACAGTTCACGTAACATTAAGAATTTCTTCTAAAATAAGATGCAGATTGATTGTGAGTGAGATGAAGCTAGAGCAGCAGAGCTTGGCACAATTTGCTTGGGCAGTACGTACATAAAACAGAAGTAGAGATGCAGTTATGTACATAGCCGAGTGAAAAATCATTAAAATCAGTGAACTTTGAAATCTACAGAGCAATAAATAAGAAACTCTCACTCTCTCCATACATTCAAACAGCCAGTTAATGCTATTATGCCATACATAACGGCACAGTTCAATCAAGGCTCTTATATAATCTGCTCCTCCCGAATTTCCAATATTCACAATATCTGCAAATAATTATGGATGCATGCGTCACGAGGAAGGAGGAAGGAAGAGAACAATGACGAGTGATATTTGAAATATCTCTACCTTTTGGAGGACGAAAAAGCATCCGGGTGGGAGCTGGCGAACAATGGCGTGGTTGCGGTTCGTGGTACAACGCCGCAGAAAAGGTCCTCCTGTTCCTGGGACAAGGAACAGCATCCCACCACCACTCCCACAGTTGGATTCTCGCACCATGGTATTTATTCGTGTCTCAGACCGTACACATTTCACTTCGAAATACCGAACTTTGTAGAACTTGACACCAATAAAGCCACCGCACAATACAGAGCTCAACACTGCATGAAGATTGTCCACACCACGAAACCAAATCCAGACATGATCATCACCGATTTCAGTACGGATCCCAATTATAAATGTCAGTAACAGCTATATTTTCCACCACGTCGAACCTTTCGCCGTGTGATTTGTGCACTGCACGGGGTGTCTGACTGAGTTTGCGAATAAGACTGAACAAGAAGTCTCTGCCCATCCACATTATTGCTAATTCTCTGCATAACACAAAAGTGCGAGGCAACCACAACACACAGAAAGCAATTGACTACGTACATGCCTGACACCAATGCATACGTATACCCTCAGCTCTAAATGAAAACGAATCTGCTTGCTGCGTCTGCAATAGATCGTTGGTGATGAGGATGTTTTTGGGGATGGCAGAAGAACTGAAGGGGAAATCACCACAAGCAGCAGCAGCAACAAACGACGACGAGGAGCCAAAAGCCAACTTCAATTATAGTGAAGAAGATGAAGAGTAGTTGGCCAAGTCGTCGTAACCAGCAATACGACACGACCAACCGCATTTCCATTTCATTGGCGAATGACATCTTTTATTTAGGCATAAGTGCTTATTTCCCTCCCCACCAAAGTTCCCTAATCCGTTTTGGCACATGGAAACGCGCTCTTCTCGAGGGAGGAGAGACTTAAGGGACGTTTCGCAAGTGAAGCCTCGCTGTTATTGTGCCAAGCTCGAGTCCGTTAATAAAGAGTTATTAAAGGCTGGCGAAAAAATACAACCTTCGCTCGAAGTCATCAGTAGGGCGCTAATGGAAACGTTAAACAGAGACAAAACCATGTCTTGGCCGTTGGCAAGTAAACAGTACACATTGAGGCTCTTGGTGTAGATCAAGCGCATTGTGATGGTCACAATGTAAGCAACAGAAGAACGAAAGTGGAGCCGGTTACAGATGCATTGTCGATGTCTTCTTCTGTTTAGAGGCCAAGTAGCGTTGGTTGGTGTACAAAGAAGATGTGCAGCAGCCTCTGGCAGGGTGTCCCTAATACATCCCATCAACCGTGTGTGTGTGTCATGTGGCTGCTTTATCACCATCGTCAAGTGAAATGAAATCAATGAAATCTGTGCTAAATCTAAATTTTGGCTCAGATTTGTTATTGTGGACAAACCTCTTCATTTGCAAACTCATCCAATCTGCCCGAGATTCTCATGCGAGGCACAAAGCGGATCGACTCGCTCATTGCACATTCACTTTCCTTCCCTCGTACTCCTTTTAACCCTTTTGTCAAAAAATGGTCTCTTTGGTCCTTCTTCGTCTCTGGAACAAATCCTGAGCTCGTTTCCACTCGGTGGCACCACACCCAGTCATGTTGCGACAATTGATCAATTTAAGAGCACTCTTGAATCTCGCATGACAGTTGGCTTATGATTTGGTCTGAGTGACCGAGATCAATCACTCAACACCTACGCACACCAATTACATGGCACTAAATACTTACTCAATAGTGGGCATACAAATATTTTCTATAGTGCAGCAACGATACAAATAATCTACGTATTGCATGAGGATCGAAAATTAATTTGGGCGGCCTCTCACATGATCTAGCCAAATTGTCAATTATCTGTAAATCAAAGCATGATGCACATTTTGCTTATTCATTTTTAGTGGGTACGAATGGTATTTTCAAAAAATATTCACTCCCCACGTCTACTCGAGGCAAGGCAAGGCAAGTCTGATAATCGTGTCACTGCGACAAAGACGAACGCATATCCTGTTCAAGGTCCCTCCTCAGAAAAGTGTGTGCGCGGTGGACACAGAGTTCGCAATAAATAAGGCTTGTTCTCTCTACTGCTAACACGACGCACGAATATCTTATTTTACAGGAGTGCACACGAATGTCAACTTTTTTCTAAGAAAACATTTATGAATTTATAAATTCAGTAGAGCATCAAATAAAATCAAAGTTTTTCTTTTCTTCCTAATAAATGACGATGAAGCACGATAAATTTATTTCTCTTGAGCCACAAGAGCAATAACTCGTCCTCACTCATCATCTTCTCTGTAAAAACCTCAAGCAAATGATAAGTCGCACATGAAATAAAATATAAATCCGAGTGCTTAGTGGGCTGTGAAATGGTAATAATAAATTTGAGATGTTGTTGTAAAAAACCTTTGGCCAACAACATACGTGTCCTATTCGTTTGTCAAACTCAAATCCAAACAAGTCGTTACTTCTTTCGGTAGAAGTGGTGGCCAAGAATAGATGTGAAAAATCTCTCTTTTTGCAAGTGCATGTGTCGTCGAAGTCGGTGAAGAGTAAATACAAATCCCAAAACTGCATTAATGGCACTGGTGTGTGTACTGCAACAATGTGAATAAGAAGACACTTGAGGGTTGTGTGGTTGGGATTTTTATGGTGACTGAGTAGAGCAAGCCTAAAGTTTACCACCCGTTCTGATGATAACAGTTTTTGTCCATTAGATGAACTCCATCAATCCTAATCATCAAAGAAGACGGCCGATATTGTATCAACCCACTTTTGTCCAGAAATGCAATACGATCTCTTAAAAACAACGCTCAAGTCTGTATTCTGAACCAAATTTTTTACTTTTTATTTGGTGGTAATGTGGTGCTAGCTAATGTGCAATACTAATGGCGGAAATAATTGCAAAATCACCCACAATTGCATTTCATTCATTCATCCATCCATCTATTGTCAATTTTATAAAATGTCGTCGCTTTCCAAACTTGCATAAAGCCACACTTGACAAATGTGCACAACAGAGAGTGATTATTATTGCATATACTTAATAGCAGTAGTTAAATTAAGCTATTAACAAACCAAATCCAATCACTGCATTTGGACCAGTTTGCTTTCCTGCCTACCCAACAATCACCATCAGCCAAAAAGGGATTTTTTTATTGGGTCACCTCCTCAACCACACCAAACTAAACAATTTTATTATTAGGCTCCATTATATTATTATTATTATTACACGACGCTGTACACAAAGCTATTGCCAGCTAATTCTTCTACAAGAGGAATCCAACTCTTGTTGTGGAATGTTGTTCCTGCAGTTCATTCGTTCTTTGCTTAATCAATTCGATTCAAAAGAGGAAGGGAAATCAAGTGTGAAATTAAAAGAAAAACGTTGCAGGTGACAATTTAATCGCGAATTATCCCGTTTCATGCAACTAATTGGGCTCAGCAGTCAATTAATTAACCAATTTAAACTCCTTAATGCACTTAATTCCCTCTTGAATTCACTTGAATAATTTATTTCCCTTTCTTGCTCATGTTTTTAAAAGAAGTTCACGCTGAAACTATTTTGAAAAGAGAGGTTGAAAAGCTGTCTTACCTCTGCGGAATCATGGAAGTTTGGTTGTGAGGACGACTGCTGGGTGGTGGCCTGTTGGGTGAAGAGGACGGGGGACGACGAGGCTGAGCTGGAGGAAGACGAGGACGACAATCGGTTGTTCTGCAAACATGATTAACATTGTCAACAATCAGAACATTTAATATGTACAAGTCGACTGAACAAGTCATGCGTACGTACCTCAGACAATCGGGTCATCTCCGAGCTGGAGTAGGTGCTAAAAATCAAAGAAAAACAATTCTCGTTAGTACATTGACTGTGCTACATATTTCATTATCATGTCATCCTGATGAACATATATTGATCACGGTCCAATGCTCAATTACATTCAAGTCCACTCGACCGAATATTATGTGTGAAAGCGACGATACACTAAATGTATGTGAAGCAGGAGAAAAAAAAATCCACTAAAAATAAAAGTGTCACCGAAAACCTACTGCTCAGAGTTTCGCTGAAAGAACAAAGGAAACGCAGCAGAGAAATTTACAATTGAATAAATCTCTTGAAAAAGAAACAAGTTGATCCTCCAGAGCAGGCAAAAGACAAACTTTTTGTCGTCCTCGGAGAGTCTGCACACCGAAATCTGGTTCAAATTATTTCATTACGGTCTCCCTCAGGCACGTTAAGAGACAAAGTAAATAAAATAAACGTGGTCTCTCAAAAGGCTCTTCTTTAAAATGAGTTGAGCCCCAAGATTTAGAAAACATACGTACGAGGCAAGCAATTGGTAAAAAGTGGCAATAAATCTGCCACTTTTTACCCAGATCTCTTTCTGCAGTGCTGCCTACATACTTACGCCAACCTCTGTATATGTACAATAACTGGGTTTTTTGCTAGTCCTTAAAATTCATCGCCTTTCACATCAATCTCTTTTCTTATGTTTTTCTCCACAATTTTTTCCATCCCATGGTTGTTTGCAAATCAAAATGAAAGATGCTGAAGGTGCTACGAACAGCCAGCTCAATGAGTTATTTAGATAGTTCAACTGGAGGAAATGGTGGTAGTAATAAATCGTGCGATGCATATTTCACCATAATGACGACGACTGTGTGCACTCATTGAATGCAAGATTCATAAAAGTCATGATATAATAATAATCATAGTCATTATTACCCCGAACCCATACAACAATGAGATTGCACTTATTTATCCTGTTGCTCAGAGAGAGTAATGTGTCCCTTGGGGAACGTTTGTAATTTCACACAGCTACAGCGATGGTCACTGGGCCGTGACCTTTACTTGTTTTCCCTCATGTTCAAAATGCCAACGGTTTGTTTCTACAAAATTTGAGACATTTCTTTCCTCATCCTTGTCCGTTATTGTTCGTATGTGTTCCTCCTGCTACGTTTTTTCTCGACTTTGAATTATTGCTCGTTGTTGGAGTGATGATGCTGTTGAAGGGCCCGGAGGCAGCTCTTTCTGTCGTATCTTTATCAGGCAGAACCAGACAGACTCCCTCCCACTCGATGCAGAGGAACACACACGAAGCCCAACACAGATTTGGAGTAATTGAAAGTAATTGTTCCTTTTTCTGAGGAGGAGAAGGAACGAGAGCAAGGAGTGGACTGGTTGTGATGCGAGGAGGGCGAAAGGTCGCGGCCTTAAGGAGCCCACCAACCAACACAAACACTTAAACGAGTTATTGGAATCACTGAGTTGTTTGTTTATGAATGTGTGTATTGCCTCCAGATATGCCTGCCCAGTCGGTTACGTAAACGCCGTCGTGCAAGTAGATGACTTTGCTCACTGTTTATTTACTTACTTTGAAATCGGGACTGGAAAGTATTGGATCGTTATCTCGAATGAATACCTCTCTCTCTCTGAAAGATCAGCACTTGGGGCAGAGATCAGCAATATTTGTGTGAATCCATGCTCAAAAAACTGAGGAACGGCACGATTGGTGCAATCGAGGTACTGAGAAGTCGTAGTAATAGTGGTAGTGGTCGTAGTAGTAAATATTATTATGCGCGTGGATTCGTAGGTGTTTGATAGCTGAGGAGAAGACTGGGACTAAAACCCCATTTGTTTTGTTGTGATGGAAAGTGCAGAGCGGAAACAGGGAGACGAAACGAAAAGAAGGAACACAGCTAAAACTCAGACCCCGAATTTCGGGGATTTTGCCACATCAGATTCTACGAGTGCATAAGAAGGGAGTAGGAGAGTCCATGCCAGTGCTGGGAAGTGGATGGCTGTGTGGGGGAGGTTGGCGCAGGTCTGCACCTCAAGAAGGAAGAAATATATGCCCGATTCGGTTCGATACTACATACAACTTGCCAGAGCCAGAAGAGACAAATATGCTACCACTGGCTTGCACTCGGGTTTTCTTGCACGGCTATACTGCACGTGGATGCAGACCAACTTCAACCCGGGTATTTAACTTTATGCCTCCTCTCGACCGGGAGACAGCCAGACTGACTATACGCAGCATGTGCATACGTACAATCCACTTATTCACTCGGAGTGAATCATGGTAAATATCCGGAAAAGAATGCAGCCCGTCCTCATTCCATGTCATGAAATATATTGGACAAAATCTGCATTTGAAGTGAGAGGCTGAAACTCGCAGATAACTTCCGACATCAGTTTACTTCTCCTCCTCCACGGTCACTGTTGTACCACTCGGAAGAAGTAATAACCGTGATGGAGTTAAGTTTAATTGAACCCGACTCTTGCCATCATCATGTTTCGCATCCCTCACACTCACGAGTCGAGCTATATCGTAGACAATTGAGAAATGAGTCCACTTTACCCGAACCACTTATTCATCCCACAAATTCCAACCCCACCAAACCAGTCGGAAACTCAAGCCATACGTTCTTACCACTCGTACAGTCACTCGTTACTTGCATGCAGCGGTAACAAAATGCTTATTGTTTACCAGCAGACAATTGATCCAGCCATGAAATCCGCCCACCCCAACAGAACAAAGGCACAAGAACAGATTTCCGACCCACCTGGACATGTGCCGTGTTTTTCTCTACGCGTACGAGCAAACTTTTGAGCTCATATTGTGTAATATGCAATATTGACAAAATGATATGATGTCATATCATTTTGTGGTGCACCAAATCAAAACATTCCTTACAAATTGCTATTCAAAATCTACTCGTATTTCAAATCTGAATAGAATGCATGCCTCATCCTATTTATTTGTAGGTTGAGTTCCTTCCCTAAATTGCTCAATTTCCTTCTTTTTTGGACACGACGGCATCTTTCAAATATGTAAATGTGGTCATGGCGTACAAGGAAGCCGCAAGAAGTGTACGCAAAGTAAAACATGCTTTACAACAAGTACACACGAGTTCAAAGGATTTTCTGAGGAGGTGCCCTACAGGGTCTCGCGGCCTCTTTGTTCAATCCGTTTCAATTGTACGTACGTAAATATATGCGAAGAAGACGAGGGAAAATCGAGGCTTTGTTACCCTGACTCACCCTGAAACTCCATGACGGTGTTAGACCGATTACAATCTCTATGCATCTCCATGATTCGTTTTCATACGAAATACCCGCAACTTTGTACACAAATATTTATGCGTATTCATAAAAAAGATACAAATTGTGCTTTCTAAAATGTGTAAATTATGAATACCGATATGAGTGCAACATTATTTTTATTAGCGGGTGATTTGATACGAGTGAGTGTCGCTGTTCGGAAGCCACCACTCAGCAAAGTGCAACATTAAGCATTCCACCAATTTATTTATTACATGACGGAGCATGACTGAAATTAATCCACTTGATTATCCATAAACGCTGCATCCCCAATAATATAAAAATATTAGCCCCATGCGATCTCGTAACGAGGTTATGTGGACATGTTATTGATGATGCGGATCGTAGGCTCCGTTTATAGACGAATGGAATTTGGTGTGCCCCAGATGTCGACGGCACACACACAAATTACTTATTTATATTTATACCCTACCGCGATCCCGATATGATTAATGCTTGGTTATTGCATGGCGCGGAATACTTGACCTTACCAAACTCCGGACCTTCCTAATGCAAAGTTAATCCCGTAATAACACAGCAACAGCGTAATTCGAGGTTCGTGACGTACCTGATAGGAAAACCCGGCATTTATCACAATCACCGAATTCGGATCGCACAGTAGTGATCGCACATTTATATGTTGGCTGCACAACTGTGTACACAATTCCTAATTTCCAACTCCAATATATAGTAGTGAGCCTAATTAACGCTTATTTGTGTACTTTGCAGCTCGTGTATTGATACATTTTGTTTACTTTGAATGCAAACACGCGTATTTCTGGTCGACGGAAATGAGAAAGGGGGCACACAATCTCGAGTCGTAAAAGCGTCGTAAAGTCTGTCAAACATTTATATTTTCAATAAAGTCACCCCTCTCTAAAAAACGAGAGGAATTTGAGGGGAGATTTGGGACGAGTACTTTGGAGACGCATCAGCAGAAGACGATCAACACTTTCACTGTCAGGATTTACTTGCTTTCTCCTTAGTTTCACTTTCATAATGGGACGAAGAATCAGAAATCCACACTGAACCACCGACAGCATTAAGCACCCTTCTACTGCTCGTTCCTTCCTCCTCGTACGTCCTAATCCAACCAGAAGACCATCCATCCATCCCTACCTGCTGCTGCCTGGGCTTGAAAGATTACAGCGTCGTCTTTCCCTAGACGCACTTTCTCCCCGAAAACCGTTTCTTCTTAAGTGCGCTCTATTTTATTGTTTTCGGTCGTCTCGTTAAAATGTTAAAATTAAATGTTAAACTCGAAGCGAATACTAAACCGTCAAGTTCTAAGCTTTCTTTCTTTCTCGACAGCAACACAACGGGCGGGGTGGCATCTGTCAGGATTGCCCGTTTTGGAGAGGTTGATAGCTCCTTCTTCTCCCTCCATCCACATTCATCCATCTCCCTGGCTTTCTTCATCTCGCAGTGAGATATGTACATATTCGTGACCATCAGTCGATGATACTTCATATTACTTATATATCATTATATTTCAGTCTGACTGATAAAAAACAGGGTTTGAATTCACATTTCCATTCAGGAGAAGAGTTTTTTTGGATGATGGGACAAACTGACCTTGGTTTCTGGATACCTTTCTATTAGGGATCAGTAGTCATGTCCTCACAATGGGTGAAGTGGACAAAAGACGCCACAAAGTCTCCCTCGTCTGGTACATTCCCAGATGCGAGCGAGTCCTTCGAGCCACGACACTCCCCAATTTTCACC